GAAGCCAGTGTATGACCATGTCATGGTGTATTGTGCTATGTTCTAGTTTATTGTTGAGTACAGATGTGCAACCTGTGACGTACCATTCGTTCTGTTTTGAACCTGAATTTCTGAAATGTCATGATTCGGTGCCTTTCAAGACCTTGCTTGCTTGGAACATTTTTTCCCCAAACCGTGTGGCCACACTAAGGGGTTCTTACGGTAACAGTTAAGGCCCGGTGTTCAATCGAGGTGGTATCCGTCGCGTTTGGCATTTTCCCTGAAAATTTCCACACAAAATGGCTCTTGTGAAATGTCCATGTGCATTTCGACTTCGCAGGCTCGCACAAAACAATGTCCCCGGAGGTGTCCTCGGCCATTTTCCTTGTAGATTACCACCCAAAATGGCTTTTGTGAAATGTCCATGTGCATTTCGATTGCGCAGGCTCGCACAAAACAATGTCCCCGGAGGTGTCCTCGGCCATTTTCCTTGTAGATTACCACCCAAAATGGCTCTTGTGAAATGTCCATGTGCATTTCGACTTCGCAGGCTCGCACAAAACAATGTCCCCGGAGGTGTCCTCGGCCATTTTCCTTGTAGATTACCACCCAAAATGGCTCTTGTGAAATGTCCATGTGCATTTCGATTGCGCAGGCTCGCACAAAACAATGTCCCCGGAGGTGTCCTCGGCCATTTTCCTTGTAGATTACCACCCAAAATGGCTCTTGTGAAATGTCCATGTGCATTTCGACTTCGCAGGCTCGCACAAAACAATGTCCCCGGAGGTGTCCTCGGCCATTTTCCTTGTAGATTACCACCCAAAATGGCTCCCATGTGCATTTCGGCCATGGCCTCTGTAGATTACCACCCAAAATGGCTCTTGTGAAATGTCCATGTGCATTTCGATTGCGCAGGCTCGCACAAAACAATGTCCCCGGAGGTGTCCTCGGCCATTTTCCTTGTAGATTACCACCCAAAATGGCTCTTGTGAAATGTCCATGTGCATTTCGACTGCGCAGGCTCGCACATCCACATCATCATCATCATCATCATCATCATCATCATCATCACATCAAAATCATCATCATCATCATCATCATCATCATCATCATCATCATCATCATCGCCATCATCATCATCATCATCACCATCATCATCATCATCATCACCTTCTTCTTCATCATCATCATTATTATCATTATTATTATGATGATTATGATGATGATTACTGTATTTATTATTATTATTATTGTTATTTATTATTATTTATTATTTTCATCACCATTATCACCATCACCATCATCATCACCACCACCATCATCATCATCATCAGCATTATAAGACATTTTCTTTTCACTCCCCCCACACTGTTTGGGGCCTCTTGCCGGGATAACGAAGTGTATTTATGCACATTTAAAATAATATGCACATCTAAAACCTATGTACATATACATATATATATATATACACATATATATACGCACATACACATGTACACGCACACACACACAGAGAAAACATATAAAACATGTCATTCCGTGTCAGGTCTTCCAGCTCAAACCTGGTGAAGTGAAACCTGAGGCACTGAACAACACCGGAGAATGCCATGCAGGGTCTACTCAAACCTTCTCTTACCCCCAAACAGATTTCTACTGTGTAATATGGAAAATTTCACATGTCCAATTTCTAAAACAAAACATACATAAAATCATAAACAAATGCTGAAAGTGCAGCAAATCCTACATATTCCTTGATTATGGCTGTCATTCTCGGATATCTCAGGGATGTCGCACGAGCGGCTGTCCAGTTTTCACAGCTGTTGTGGATTGGTACCTGGTAGCGAATGGCCAGGCGACGGTAGCTCTGGAACTTCACCACAAAAGCCCTGTGACACATCTAAGCGTCTCTTCGAGGAGAGGGAAAAGTCAGTTTGTTGCCAGCAGAGTCCAAAGAGTCCTAAAGTCTTAAAAAGGGAACATGTCGCAAATTTATATAATCGATATAAAGAGCACATGGTCTAGCTGCCAGGCGCTAGCCTTTGGGTGACACTTTGGTGTTCTTTTTGTTGCTGCGGCTGCTGTAGTCGTGTTGATGCTGCTCTGATGGTGCCCAGTGGCGGACATGCCTGTCAGTGGCATTTAGTCGCAGCGCTTGTTTCAATGTTTTGCTGTTCCTAAGGCATATTCTAGGGCTTGAAATCTTGAAGAACAGTTTTTGGTGATGCACCACAGCAAGTGAGTTCAACATTTTTGTTCTCAATTCCTGCCAGGAGACTACTTTCAGTGGGCTTTGATACGGCCATGCGAGTCATTGATGTGCAACTTGGTCCAAGTAATTAATACCAGGTCGAACCTCTCCTGTGGCCCCTAGGAAGTTAGGACACAGCTGCGACAGTGTTAGATAGATCTTGGTCAAGCAATCCAAAGCCCTGCTTGTTAAAGTCCTACATTGCCCGACTAGATGCCGGGTAAAAAAGAAAAGGCATTCCCAGAGTTGTTTCTGGTGTCGACGCATGGTTACTGCCGGTGGGCCAATATATTGGTAAGCCTTTGGAAGTTCTGGACAGAGCCCTCCGCAGAAGACAGCTCAAATTGTTCACCAGGGCTGAGTCTTTCAGCTTTGTCCATATATTCGTTATATCTCTTCAATGATTCCGAATCAGGTAGTACAAATGTCTGTGGTTCGAAGACAAGGCAGTCAAGTATTTCAGAATATTTCAGAAGATTTAAGAAGATTTCAAGGTTCTCTTTCCAGCCTTCTGTAGAAGATTTCAATTTGCTCTAGCTGAGGCGCACACGTGAGCTGCGCTGCGGCGGCCGTCTTCTGAAGCGCCTTCGCAGTGGGCTCCCGTCAGAGCGTGGTGTGATGCAACAGCAAGTACCTAGGACATCCTCAGGTCAAGCCTGTCCGGCATTCTTTTGAAGTCTCTAAGAAAGAAAACCTGATATTGAGGCACCTCCCAAAAGCAGCAGCCCAAGAGCTGATGAGGTGAGATGGACCACTTGACTAGTTGTCACTTGGACGATGCCAATGTTTCGATCTCAGTGTCTCCGAGAGTGCTTGCCCACAGCTCTTGAGAACTTTCAAAAGCTTAATTTTATGAGCGGAATTCGGTCAGACGGAGTCCAAATCTTTGCATGTCTTTCACCTAATCAGTCCATCATAGTGTTGTTTTGCTCCACAGTATACTGTCAAGTCCAATGATTGCTTTCTGAACTTGGGGCGCAGTGCTGTGCTGAAGATGGCTTCAAGTTGGAAATGACAGCGTCCAAACTGGCATTATCATTTATGGATATTTACGGTTGGTCTTACCAAGAGCTAGCAAAGGTGGCTCTTGCTGACTTGTATGCTTGCTGATTGTCTGGGTCACACCTAGGATCGCGCGCTCATTGGTACCTCGGGTGGGGTTGCTGACCTAGCAGAGACCAGACCACGCCATTGAGACAGAGCCACTCGTGTCACCAGTGCGAAGCTGGTGCTAAGCTGTCAAATAAAGCAGCACAGCTTAACTCAAACTCACCACTGTGATTTGCAAACTGTGGGTCTTTCTTGCGCATTGTTTAGATCTTCTATCATTTGCCAGATTTCAGTTCGGACTCAGGATGTCTTCATCTTGGACATCTCGCAGAATCCGCCCAATTTCCTACACACGGTTCCCGGATGCTGTGTAGTTACGGGAGCAATCGGAGCAATCCATACTCTGTTGGGGTTGCCTGTGGTATGCAGGCCCAAGATGACAAAGTGCTGCTTTCAATAATTTTCAATACAATTTATGAATAGCAACTTCTTGGAAAGGTCAAGCCCTCTCCATTTATCGAAATGATTGAGCCGAGAAAGAGCAACAGATTCATGATGGCTGGGCTCGCCTTGCTGCCTTGGCAAGGCAGCTGTCAAGACTTGGCTTTCTGCTTGTGAAAGCAGACACTGAGCAGGTGGAAATGGGCACCAAGCCTGTGTCGGACATGGCCCTCACGCAGGACAAAGCTCAGACTGGTCGACTGACGCCAGGATCATTGCACATCATGGCACTATATAAACAAAGCGAAAATGGGTTTGGAGGAAAGAGCTGCAGGGAGTTTCTGCAAACAATGTAACAAGAGACAGCTTGCAGGCGTTTTGGCAGTCGTTTGTCATTACAGAAACCTTTCCATTTTGATAGCCTCCATTTGGCCGCCAGATGAAGGAGAATTTGTTGGTGGCACACAGCGACTGCATCGCGGCCCTAACTCTTGCTCCTCGTGGAGAGGACGCTCACGTACCTTTGCATTGCTTGTGGGTTCCGAGAACTGAGAGGAATTGTTTGCTTCAGAATGTAGGCATGTCACACCGAGTCATTGTGCATAAACTTGAAAAGAAGGACGCCCATTTCCTACGTAACTCCCGTCGATTTTTCAGGAGAGCAGCATCACTCGGCTTGGCAACTACCGTGTGAAGCATTTGCACGAGTCTGAGGCCGAACAACGAGCCTTAAGTTATGCCAGGTGTTTCAAAAGGAGGAGTGAAATGCATCCACTGTAAATTTTCTGCCTTGTTCTACAGTGGGACAGGAGCTTTCCGTGACTTTCGTCCTTTTTCATATTTTTTCACAGAAAGAAAACACTTGAGTCTTGTATTTATATCTTCAGCGAAATTCTTTTGACATTGTGAGCACAACTTGGAGGTGAGCATCCTTTCAGTTGCAGCTGCAGTGCAGCGCGACTTGGTCTTCGGAGGCCCTTGAAAGGGAGGGGGCAGAGGACATTGTTTTGATGTTTTGAAGGCGTGAGTTTGCTCACTCACCCTAGTCACTTATCTTGGACACGGAGAGTAATACAGAACAGACAATTTGAGCATGCAACACGGTAACTGACCAGATCCCCAGTCACTGCCCAAAAATTTGATGATAAGTGGACGCTTCATATATCTTCATATTAATTGAGGCGGTCAAATCACATGAATTCCATCCCGATTTTGATGTGAGTATTTCAGATGTTGGATCACTTTGGCAGAGCGGTCCAAGACTAGTTACGAGGCTATTCCGATGGCTCCATTGCAGTGTGGTCTATGCGAGCAACAGAGGCAATGGAGTTCCTAGAGTGGTTTGTTTTGCAGAACGTACCTGGCGCACGTTGAGCACGACATTCGTTTAGCATTTCATTTGACCATACCCAAGCCCGGTAGCAAGTGAGCCTGCTGGGCATTCATACGAATCGGCCCCAGGCTGTTCTGGTGCTTCAAGGTCACCAGTGTGACGTTACGCGTCTCGTGGCCCTGGCAAGATTGTAAAAGATCATATGATCGTTGTAGTACCACAACTCGGTTCATTCACTGGAGTACCAAATGCTACTGACACATCCCCTTCCGTCATCATGGCAAGGTTTGGGTTGAGGACCCTCCCTGGGGACCAGTGCTGTACTCCGGTGGAGGTGACGGGAAGGCGAGGATCTCAGAGGATCTCACAGATTCGAAGAAGATGTCTCAGCTGCCTCAGCCCCTTTTGTCATCTTTCCATGTCTTTCCATATCTTTCCGTCCTTTCACTCCTTTTCTCTGTGTGTTCTCTCCAGTGGGGAGAGTATCGTTGGTTAAACAAATTGGTTTCATGGTTTTCCATGAGATTTCTATATTGAATAAAATTGCCACTACGAGCAATGCATTCGCACCTTCAAAGGCAACCTATTAGTCAAGGTGATGACAGGTAGCAGTCCACATTCGGTTTTCAGATGAGATATCAGCTCAGCCTTTAGCCTCCTCCTATCACATCAACCGGCTTAGAGGTGGGAGGCATCGGGAGGCATCGGGAGGCATCGGGAGGCATCGGGAGGCATCGGGAGGCATCGGGAGGCATCGGGAGGCATCGGGAGGCATCGGGAGGTATCATGTTCAATTTGCAAGTGGAGCCTCGTGCGCAGGTGACAACTTGGAATTTGAATGGCAGCGCGGAGGACACACATTTCAATTTGCAGCTTCCTTTTCGATTTTTCAATGGTTCGTTTCATTGCGTTTCATGCAAACTTGTGAACCATGACACCATCTTACGGCGTGCGCACGGTGAGTCGGAATCCTGCAGGCAAGATCCTTGTTTGATTCTTTGGTTCAAACCATTTTTGAGAAGTCATTTTCATTGTTTTGCTTTCGTATGGCCCTTAGATGACATCCAAAATACGACTGCTGCCGGGACAACGACCAGTTCTGAAACAAACACAAGGACTTTGCCTCATGGGCTCCTGCAAGTGGCTTGCATGCTTGATTGAAAGAGCGGTCGCACTAAATGGTGGGACACCTTGGACGTCAATAGCTCCATTTCTTGCTGTTGAAGTCCTGGAAAAAGGATGAAAACGGTGCAGTAAGTACAGATGTTGGTGTCCCATCACGGTAATGTGTGTCGAGGTCTGGTGGTGGGGGTATCGTGCTCATCTCATTGAGCTTTGACCGACAGCATTCACTTCAAATATGAGCATAAACTACACAAAGCACTCATCTAAATTCATCTCATACTTCCACGCTACCTCCATAGATGTTGGCATCCAGCACTGAACTACTGAACAACTGATCATAACTGATCAAAGTTAGCTTCCACCACTCCTGGTCACTACCTACCCGGTATCATGTAGACTTGTAATGACTTGGAATGACTTGTAGACTGTTGTAGAGCCCGAATCCATCCGAATGCTCGCCAGGCGCTGCGAATCTGTTCGACAGGAGCTTTTCAGCTCTTGGGCCACAGGTGCGGCTGCAGTGTGGCCGTGCATAGTCGATGACAAGACTCTTGCTTTACGCTTTAGTTACTGTAACTTCTTCAACAATAACAAGTTGAACCTGAAAAGAACTTGGGCTTGCACCATGAGCACCTTTCAGGCTAGACTTCTTTGCGCAAGTCAACTCGATACTGCAAGTATATTTGTCCATGGAAATAGACACAAAGTGACTCATCTCCCACGATCTATCTAAAGCTGAAAGATGATGGAAAGGACAGTAGTTGCTTCATGACATATCATGACATATCAACGTGCCTGAGTCACCACCCAAGCTGGTTCACAAATTCCACCCAGTCTTGGAGACCTGCGGTCCGAGTGGTTGCGCTATGCTATGCTATGCTGTTCGCAAATGAGTGAACTGCATTGAACACATCCATTGTGTGAACACATTGCGAACACCTTTGAGCTTTGTTGAGGACAACGATCCGGCCCTGAGCGCCTTTGAGCCGAGCTTCGATTCAGTGCCGGCAAGACTTGGAGGTTTCTTCACGAGCCGGTACCCACGAACTGAGCGGCATCCACGAACCGATTCTTTCAACATTCTTTCAACATTCTTTCAGCATTCTTTCAACTAAAGGAGTACCCGACCCTAATCTGCAGACATGAAGGGGCCTGCAATGGCCTGCAACACTTTTTCTTCCGATGCAGCGCAGATATCTAAGCCGGATTGGATCCAAATTGTCGGATGGTACTTTCTCACGACGGATATCTGACAGAGAGGTTGTGTTGACAGAGTAAATGGGGTGGCCAAACCGCCTGATTGGCCAGTCTGCAGGCTATTCAGATCCCTTCACATTGGGTGAGTCCCGACGCGTCAATCCGCAGGCAGGGTCCTTGCATTTTCAAATATGTCAGACCAGTCAAAGCAATTCATTTGGCTATATACAGTGAATTTTATGGTTGTTTGACAAAGATTCGGCCGCCGAGTTGCCCGATTCACCCCTTGTGCAAGAAAAGAAACAAGCTCCATATATAGAAGATATTTGGAGATATTAGGAGATGGGCCACTGGGCTGACTTGCACATTTGTACTGGTGTAATCTGGTTTGTATTTCTATATTCTATTCAACTCTTGGAGAGAAATCCAATGGCACCCTGAGTAAATCGTCAGCTTTTATTATGAATTTGCGAATCTGTGTCTTGTTTTGCTTTCAGTGAAGCACACAGAGAAAGCCATTGAACGCTGCATTTGTTTCAGGCTTTGAAGACAGAGGACTCAGACTCTGACAACGAGTTGGTGGACGCCTTTCATTAACTTTTTACTTAGCTTGTTTGGACCCCAAGCCTCTGCCGTGTAACTAGATTTCTGCAACACATGATTTGACAGGGGCTCTGACTCTAGCTGGGCTAGTGTGTGATTTATATCCAATCTAGATGGATTAGATGGGAACCTAAGAATCCAGGTGTTTTGCTCCGAGATGAACCGGCTGAGGTGTGACCTTGGCGGACAGCAGGGAACTCAAAGAGCCCTGCAAAGATGACTGTCGCATGGTCTGGAAAGAAAGAGCAGCGCTTTGAGTCAACGGTCGTCACAGACTAAACGGATCATGATGATAATGAACACGTAACACGTATGATTTCTGCTACCAGCAGCGGAACGGTATTTGTGGTTGCTTGGAACCTTGAGAGCATCGTGTTGCATGATTTGCAAGGGTTCTCACTACCAGTACGGTAGTTGCTTGGCCCGTTAGCTGGAATATCGCAGCTAGAAAACACATCACTTAGTACTGTTTAAGACAACACACAGGTTTTGCATTGCTGAAAGTGGCCAGATTTTGGACATCATCCTCTTTGAGTGCATCAGCGATCAAGCCATTTGTGCAAGCTTGCATGAACTGTGAATCACTGAGTCAAAATTTGACCTGCTGGTTGACATCTCTTTCCTCTTCCCTTTATGACGAGCCGTGTCTTCAACAACGTGAGATGCAGAAGTGGTTTGTGCATGATCCCCCATCAGTTTTTCAATTCGGTGTTCCTTTGCCAAGCACCCTGCACGAGAAACCAGCAAAGCGACCTGTGGTGGCTTCAGCACCTCCCTTCGCTAGGTGGTAGGCTTCAATTCAGTCCATGATGCTCGATGCTCCAGATCTTGGACTCCTTGACATTGCTTGACCATGAGTCAAAATTCCACGCACATTCTGTGTACAAACATTGTAAACATGCATTCGCACAACCTCACGCACTGCAGGTTTTCTATCCACTGTCTCCACTGTCCACAATACTTGTATCCTCAGCTCTGCTCCACTTGGCCATGAACTCCCCTCGCGCTTGGTGGCATTTGCCTGTGCCGTACGGCGATGACAGTTGCGACGAAGCGAAGGTGAAACGATCGATGATCAAGCTCCAGCAAGATATCATATCTGCCAAGCTTCAGTCAGCGTTCAACATGTGATTCATTTGAAATCATTTGAACAAATTGAAAGCACCTTTTCCAATGTGGGGTCGATTTTAGGTCCCAAGGTCTTTCAAGGGAAAGCAAAGCATTCTGTTTCCTTTTCTGCTAACGATGTCATTCTCTCCAGTCCTGGCTTGATTGCGTTGGGCCGGATCATTTCTAGAGAGTATTTATCTACGATTCTTTCGAATGGCATTTGGGATTATATATTTGTCGTCTGTTGAGTCTTTCACTCCAGAAGATCTCCAGAAGTCGAGCTCAGTAATAACATCCACAAGAAATGATTCCTTTTTTTCTTCATTGCCTCAAAGAACAACCCAGAGGAAATCACAGCAATGTGCAGATTGCGCGGAGGCCAGTGAGCCAGGGACACCAGCTCGTTCTGTGAGCAGAGGAAGTGATGGAACTGAAGAAGGCGCGGGCGCATGCGGGCGCAACGCCGGTGAAATCGCAGAGGATGGCACAAAAATGCACAAAACAGAGCATCGAATCAAAAACTGCAGCTGATTTCTTGTGTCCTGTTGCAAACGCAACATTTGGGGATGTATACCAGAGTGCACCTTATTAGTACCTCATTGAACTCATCAGAATTCATGACTTCTGGTGCTTGTGCTCGTGCTTGTGGTGGTGGTGCCTTGAAATGCATCTCTTTGACAGAAACCACGTCTTGATGGCAGAGCAGGGAGCAATATGAACCAAGATGGAGAATCTGGGCTTCCGCTCCAGCATTCTCGCCTTTCATTTTTGAGCATGTGAAACAAATCTGTCACTCTTTAGCAAGCAAAAGTGAATTGCCTAGATACAATTGGACAGGGTGCGTGTCTTCCAAATGCGAATCCAGAAAGTGAGGTAGAGTAGCAGCGTAGCCAGTCTGTGGAAGGCCTTTGTGCTGAAGGTCTTTGGCAATCGATGCGCCAAGCAAGCAGCACGATGAGGAGAATTGGGATCAACCGGCCAATATATGAGAGAGATGTATCAATATGTAATAATATGATATGCACATATGTATATGTATATGTATATGTATATGTATATGTATATGTGTATATGTATATGTATATGTATATGTATATGTATATGCACATTTGTATATGCAAATATGTATATGTATATGTATGTGTATATGTATATGTATATGTATATCTATATATATATGTAATTGTATATGTATGTGTATGTGTATGTGTATGTGTAAGTATGTATGTATGTATGTATGCATGCATGCATGCATGGATGGATGGATGGATGGATGTATGGATGTATGTATGTATGTATGTATGTATGTATGTATGTATGTATGTGTGTATGTGTGTATGTGTGTATGTGTGTATGTGTGTATGTGTGTATGTGCGTATGTGTGTATGTGTGTATGTGTGTATGTGTATATATATATATATACACACGTAATATTTTGAACTTCCTTTCCGCTTTGAAGGGTTTGAACCAGTTGGGATGTGGAATCAGGCCATTTGAGAGATTCAAGCCGCCTGAGATTCAAACGGCCTCCTTTTGGTAAAACATTGATCTTGTAGCAAACCTACATCACCAGAGCAGGAGGTTCTCTAAGGAGCTCATATTTTCTTAGACAGCTTGGACTATCTCATTTACCCTCTGGTAAACTAACATAACTATGGAAAATCACAATTTTTAATGGGACAACTCGCTATAAATGGCCATTTTCAATAGCTATGTTAGTTTACCAGAGGGTAGAATCGTAGTATGCATCGCCGATGATTTTGTTTTCAGCATCATTTTCTTTTAGATGGACGACGTGTTCGCGTGGGCCCTCTGTGCAGATCGACGCAAAATTCCCAACCAAAGCGCTTCCAGCCACTGCCCCAGCCTGGCCTGGTACGGACTTACGTAGAGAGTCATATGTACAGATTGCCCCGGAATTGCCCCACTGGCTCACTGCTTGAATGATGCAATGTGCTGACAACGTGACCAACGTGACAGCATATGGTTACCAGCAGCATCCAGCAGCATCCAGCAGCATCCAAGCTTTGTTCCCCGTCAGCCTTACCCGGGCCTTACCCGGGCCTTACCCGGGCCTTACCGGTCAGCCTTACCTCTTTGATTTATTCATGGTACGCATGACCTCGGACTAAGGCAAGTGCTGAACCAATGGATCCGGCGGCCACCGGATCATGCCAGGGCCTCGATGGCGTCGTCATGTCCTTTATGCGTCCGTGAAAGGTGCCACGAGGTCACGAGGTTTTTAAAGTGGCAGAAGGTAATTTTCGAAAAAAACTATGTGATCATTATGTAATACTTTTTCAGTTCTATGTTGTTTTGAGCTTCTCAGAGACTAAGTATAGAGTATAGAAGTGGTCAGACTAGTGGGTAGTTCAAACCAGGAGATACTAGGAGATCCTAGGAGACTCGAAGCAAACATCAGGCCTTCAACAAATATAAAATGAGGAGGATGTTGAAACTGAGACCAAATTTATTCATCAAATCGGATGCAAATTTGTTGCTGAATTTTATTCGCAAAGTTCCCAACATGCAAGCGTACCAAGATTTATTGAACTCCCACTCGTCCTCCTTTTTCTTGCAAGTTTTCATTTGCTGTTGCTGAAGTAGCCAACACCTCTACCCTGTCTGTATGCAAGCCCTGCGGGGCCAGAAATAAAATGCGTTTCGACATAATTTGACAGTCAGGTCTAATTTTCTCAATCGATTTGTCAAGTTAGATCGAATAGACTTCATGGATTCCTGAGCTTTTGAGTGCTTGCAAGGAGCGACTCCGGCGGTTGGCCAAGCCAGTGCAGCGAAAGTCGCAGGTGAGTTGACCGCGTTTAACCGCGTTAAACAAAGACTTAGAAGCGGAGCCAATCCAACCTCCTGGGATGCGGTAGGTAGTTCTTTAGAATAGTGAAAACATGCAGACGTTTGTGCTGTGCATGGACAATTCTGCTGTGGTGTGTTGGAGTTTCTTTGAGCATAAAGTAGTTGATCTCTTGCTGATTTTCATGCTTGAAAACCACACAAGCAGCATTTCGGTTTTTGCAACGAGACAGGCAGAGACAGCATTTGTCCCTGATGCCTTTTGCAGAACCATGCAAGTGGTATGGAAATGTATGGAGTACATTGGAGTACAACGGACGAAGGTATCTCCTTGAGTTCATTCCTGCACTCTTGTCTTGGCATGTCTTGGCTCTATCACAGCCTTCAGGAAACTGGCTTTGAACTGACGCTGGTGCATCCCAACAGGCATGGTCTGCAAGATACCAACTGTAAATCTGTCAAAATCTGTTAATCCAGCAAGTCTGCAGCAATTCTGTTCATGCTCTTCTGATGCTGTTGTATAGCTTTTGCAGACTTTTTGCAGTTGCGAAGCTCAGAGCGACATGATATGACTCAATCATGCACTTCATTTCGTTTCATTTTGTTTCATCCCATCTCTCATCTTTCTCATCTTTCTCCCATCCTTTGTAACTTTTCAACAGTTTTTCAGCGTTTCAAGTTGCTTTCAGGAGGCGAAAGGTCTTATCAAACTTTCTCTGTTCGAACTTGGCGAAGGACCTTCGATGCCACCCGCCTCGTTGAGCTGGCCATGCCCAAGCAGGCCTTGCGCCAGCGCATGCTGTGCTGCGATACGGAGGTCTTTTTTTTTAAATGTTTGTATATGTATACAGAAATGTAGCAAAGCGTTTTTGCCATGATTTACCTTTGCTGATCTTTGTTGGTGGAATTAGAAGGCAGAGGGAATGAAGGCTTTCTGAGGCTAAGTAGGAGACTTAATACCGCACGGAAAGGGAAACTGAGCACCTGGCTCTGCCGATTTGTGAGTAATTCAGCGTCACATCTAATTAAACACAAAGCACTCCAGAATCTCAAACGCATTGGCTGGAAAGGAAAGGAAGCCGATACCTTTGGCTGCTGGCCCCAGAGCAAGACGTTTCACACATTTGTGTTGAGTTTCCATTGAGTGTCCTGCGTTCAGAGGACATTTCCATTTGCAACAAAGCAGCTTGTGTAGCCCCCATTTGGCTTGCAAGTCTTGAAGAGCAGGGAGTGATGCTTTGCGCGGCATTCAGTTGTGATGTGCATAGCTCAAGAGCATTCGAAAGTAGCACTGTGAGACACTTGCTTATGGTGGGCCTTGGTGTCATCAGCTGATTGCTTCTGCCCGAGGCTCCGCAGCTTCGCCGTCGCCTGAACTTGGGTCGCTTGAAGGAACTTGCCGAGCCACAGGCCACCTATGAAAGGAACAACTCAAGACACAAGACGATGCAAGATGACACGAAAGGCTCAGCAAACTCAGCAAACATTTTTGTCTGTTTGAGCCCATGTACATCGAAACAACTGCATACAGAAGCAGCATATTCGGACATTGTCTATCATTTTGCTGACTTGAACATGATTGGGCCTATCTGACTATACTTGTCTTTCCCTTGCATTGCAACAAGCTGCGCAAAGTATGGTTTGATTGGTTGAAAGATGCAGTTGAACTTTTTCAGATGCAACACACTGGCATGGCCAGATGCGAAGACGACCTGAAAAGACGACTGAAATCTCCAGCAGGCAGGCCGCGTCTGAAGCTCGTGTCTGAAGCTTGGCATTGGGCAGAGAGCAATTGAAGGCATCATGTGACAAGGCAATGGGCAGAGTTTGGGACACGTAAAGCATCTGCTGTGTGTTGAGATCACCAAACCGCTAGCCTTCTCAGCAACATTGTCGTTGTGGTTGACTTTGAAAGTGGCATGCTGAAGCAACCGTTCTTCAAACCTGGAAACACATGCTGTAGTGCGGTTTTGGAGGCAGGGAATCGACAACTTCGTGCCACATGTTCAAACTGATCTTGCAAAGTGCAAAAAGATCATTGCCAAGAAGAGACAGACATAAATACACCTGTAGCAACGGGAACCCAAGATGCTCATTCTTTTAAAATTAACAGGTGTTCCAGCCAGTGGCATCGAACAAAGCACCAAGAACTGGAGAGAAGACTGGAAGGGAATGTCAGTATTGGAGAGGTTGAGAACACCAACCAACTGCCGTGCAACAAGAAGATCCGATCTCTTGAAGATCCGGGAACACTGTAACACCTTGCATGCAGATACCATAGAGTACCACTCTCACCAAGCTGAAAATCCTTATCTAGAATTGTCTTGGCAGTATGTGTCTTGATTTGATATGTAGAAGGACGACACGCTGCACACAAGATGTTGGTCATTATTTTTTTACTTTATTGCAAACTTGGCAAGTCTTGTTCTGCCCTTTTGATACATCTTTGACACTCTAAGACCTGCAAATCTGGGATCCTTGACTACTCGCCTTCACTTTTGCCACCGAGCGAATGCAACCTCATGCCGCAGGGTGAGCACAGCAGCTTTCAAGGTCTGAATGGAGGAGCGGAGCCTTCAGGAACATTTCATATCCCAACAACTTGTATAATTGGTATAATCTTTATCCTCGTGCAGGTGAGTAAGTCATGCTGTTTTCCATGACAGTGCAATGGCCAAAGAAGACTGCCGCAAGTATGCAATCAATCCATTGCATTCATTGAGTCTCTGTTCTATCCGGCTGGACTGCAGAATACATTGAGTGGGTAAGCTAGAGAGGGTAAACAAAGTGGTTGGGAATCAACCAGATGTCGGAAGCCAAAAAGTTTTAAACGGGTCAGCCCGTCATGACTTGAGTTGAAGAGGTATGTAAGCTAATACTGATCGTACAAGGTACAAATACAGCAGCATCGCAGTCCATGGTGACGTCAGTGTTTGCTGACATGGCCATTTCACCACCCACCAAAGCAGTTGTGGGAGTCATCTTGGTCCGCCATCTTTCTTCCACGGGAGATGTATTCGTTCATGTGAAGGCGGCGCACTTGCGCATTAAAACAACATTTGCAACGCTTCCAAGGTACACATGAAAGGACAATGCTCTAACTCTTGACAGATCATAGCAGATCATAGGCTGAGGACCAAGCTCTTCGCAGGCAGTTCTCACCCTAGGTGTCGACTGCGAACATGCCAGTAGGGCAAAAGAGCGTAAAGACTTTGTCTGCAGGGTGAAGCTGGAAACTTGGTTAGCCCTCACAAGCATTTGCATATCCTTCTTGTCTTTTCTGCAACTACTAGCTTCGTCTGAGTAGCGTCCAATGCATGTGAACACTCTGCACAAATGACCTTGTTGTGGGCTTTCATTTGTGGGATGATGGCTTGACACATGTGAACTCGGAAGCATCATTTTGCGCTTTTATGGGATTCTTGCAACAGATCTTTAAAGACAGAGGTGCACAACGATGCACATATGGTGTGTATTTTCGGTTGTACATGGAAATTTTGGTTGTGTGGTAGAAGCCTGTTGTGGCGCGGCGGTGCGACTGGCTGTTCAAAAGGCAATGTTCAAGTTCGAACTTGACAGAAGACTTCCTGCTTTACTTACAGGGCCGATGTGTGATTGGTCCTTTTTTTTTTTCGGCAGCTGCTTCTCAAAAAATTGATGCTCAAGTTCCGTCTCATATGTAGCGGCGCAAGCATGCGGTGGTGCTTGGTGCCTGGAGCTTGGCTTGACAAAACATAGTTGGATGTCTCACCAGTTTGATTTGTTTGTTCTCATTTTTCTTTCAAATGCTCTTGCTCCAAACTTCAATAGATCTGCAAAACATCGATGCTTATCCATGCTCGTGGGCGCTTTGGTGCTTTATGCCGACAACCTCTGACGACGTGACAACATGACAACTTTTTCACAAATGTTCACGCCACCTTTTCACTGCGCGACGGTGCGAATCTGTCGCTGCGGCCCGGTAAGGTCTTCCTGTCCCTGGCGCTCGGGGCGCCGGACTTCGCAGAGGAGGCAAAGAAGGCTTCTGAAAAGGCGAGAGCCAAGCGGATGAGTCGAATATAGAAAGACCAAACAAAAAAAGTTATTTGATTTGTGCATAAACACACACATATATATATAATCAATATATATATATATACATAATCATATATGTTCCAACATCCCGGGGATAAAGATGAAACATGTATCCCCTTTTTATCCGCAGTATCGACTTCAGCTTTTGTGAATGGGAGAGCCGTCTCTCTGGTGCTTGAGCTGCTCAGGCAAGCTTCCTTCATAGTAATGGTTTTTACAACCTAATTCTGATATACCCTTGACTTTTTCCATTACTATACCCTTAACTGGGGGGAGTTAACCATAGTAATGGGGCCCTTGGGGGCCAATTTGGAGGCCAATTTGGGGACTCGAAACCATTGATTTTTGGAGAGGTGTCATTCACCAAATTCGGCGTAACATTTTGGCTTTGCCACATTAAGGGTGCAGTAATGGAAATTTAAGGGGACAGTTAAGGGTACAGTAATGGAAAGTTTAGGGTACAGTAATGGAAAGTTAAGGGGACAGTTAAGGGTAAAGTAATGGAAAATTAAGGGTACAGTAATGGAAATTTAAGGGGACAGTTAAGGGTACAGTAATGGAAAATTAAGGGTACAGTAATGGAAAGTTAAGGGTACAGTTAAGGCTATAATAATGGAAAGTTAAGTGTACAGTTAAGGGCATAGTAATGGAAAATTAAGGGTATAATAATGGAAAGTTAAGGGTACAGTTAACGGTATAGTAATGGAAAATTAAGGGTATAATAATGGAAAGTTAAGGGTACAGTTAAGGGTATAGTAATGGAAAAATAAGGGTATAATAATGGAAAGTTAAGGGTACAGTTAACGGTATAGTAATGGAAAGTTAAGGGTATAGTAATGGAAAGTTAAGTGTACAGTTAAGGGCATAGTAATGGAAAATTAAGGGTATAATAATGGAAAGTTAAGGGTACAGTTAACGGTATAGTAATGGAAAATTAAGGGTATAATAATGGAAAGTTAAGGGTACAGTTAAGGGTATAGTAATGGAAAAATAAGGGTATAATAATGGAAAGTTAAGGGTACAGTTAACGGTATAGTAATGGAAAGTTAAGGGTATAGTAATGGAAAGTTAAGTGTACAGTTAAGGGCATAGTAATGGAAAATTAAGGGTATAATAATGGAAAGTTAAGGGTACAGTTAACGGTATAGTAATGGAAAATTAAGGGTATAATAATGGAAAGTTAAGGGTACAGTTAAGGGTATAGTAATGGAAAAATAAGGGTATAATAATGGAAAGTTAAGGGTGCAGTAATGGAAAGTTAAGGGTATAGTAATGGAAAGTTAAGGGTGCAGTTAAGGGTATAGTAATCGAAAATTAAGGGTATAATAACGGATTAAGAAAATGTGTTAGAGTAACATAGTAATATATACATACACACATAGCTTAGTCTTATTGTTGCATCACTATTTTGTTTAGTCCTGTTTCTTGATATGAGATGTAGCATGCACTGCATGCTGTCTTGTACATTGAGTGGATCTTTCCTAGTTAGTGATCCAATCTCCTGTCATACTCTGCACCGAGCACATCTTGTCACCCAACCGACATATTGGAGACACAATTTCTTTGGTGGGAGTGGGAGCATATGTTTATTTTTTTTGCATGTCTATTACACGTACATATTAGACACATGCCACATGCCCTCTCATTTACGTGGCCCAAGGTGCTTGACTTGAATCAGTCAAGGGAGTGACCAGGATGCTAAGTCTGAAAACATTGAAATCATCCAATTGCCACCTGCTTTGCTCTTCTTATTCCTGGTTGGGTGCGCAATCTAGACTGAGAAAGTGGTGGTTTGCGATGCGTGCAGCGTGAGCACGCAGGCCTGGGAACATGCAAAGGAGGTGAAAAAATCCTCGAAGGATGCTGCCAAGATTGCTGAAGAAGTGAAGGTGCCTGCTACAGCAGGGAAGGTTTGAGACACCTGTTGGACTGAGACCCGGCATATGATTGACAAATCCAGTGAATTTCGCAATCATCTCATGACTCTTTTGCAGGCTGCCGGTAAAGGTGCCAAAAAGGCTTTGAAAAAAGCCAAGGAGAACACAGACGCACACGTGCATGATGTATACTGTATACATACATACATACATACATGCATGCATACATACATACTGACAGACATACATACATCCACACACACACACATATATATATATATACTAATGCATATGCTGTTGTCAAAGAGGAGCCCCGCATAACAGCAGCTTTTGTGCAGTCTGAAAGCCATTCTACGTTTCTGCATCCCTGTCAAAATATGCGAGATATTTCATAAAATAAGCAGAGAATGAACTGTCAAGCAGGTCGATATGAGGAACACTGAGCATAGAAAGATTTGCTGCGGCCAGGAGTTAGATGCGAAAATGACAGCTCTATTTGAATCCACACGAGAAGCCACTGTCCAAGCAGCAGCACAGGCTGCGATGGCCTACTACGAAGAGGCCGCGGCTGTAGCCACTGTAGCCACCAGAGCCACTAGTTGAGCCACACGCGCACACACGCTTTTGAAGTCAAAGCTTTCACTTGCTTGTAGAGGTCTACACAGCATGGCAGCTCCGCACAAGGCGGTGGCGGAAGTTTCAAAAACAGGAAACCTATAGGAGAGGTTGTTGTGAATCACGGATGGCAGAGCGAATCCACTGATGGACCCAAAGGTAGCTGGAGTTGTGTTCTTTGGAATGGTTGCAATGGTTGCAGTGGTCACCTGGTCGGTCACCTCACCCACAACTGCTGGATGTAGTGTGGTGTAGTTCAGCTGTAGTTGTAGTGTGGTGGAGTTGTAGTTGTGGTATAGTGTAATTAGTGTAATGTAGTGGCAGTTGCATTTGTAATGGGTGTAGTGGAATAAATCGCCCCTGCGGGAAAATGATTACAATTAGGTGGTGTAATGTAATGTAGTGTAATGTAGTGTACTCTAGTGTAGTGTAGTGTAGTGTAAAGTAGCGTAGTTGTAGTTGTAGCTGTAGCTGTAGTTGTAGTTAGTGTAGTGTAGTGTGGTGCTGTGGTGTAGTGGAGTGTAGTGTAGTGTAGTGTAGTGTGTAGTGTAGTGTAATGTAGTTGTGGTTGTGGTTGTAGTTGTAGTTGTAGTGGAGTGTAGTGTAATTTAGTGTAATTTAGTGTAGTGGTGATTGTAGTTGAAACTGCTACAAAACTTCACGTTTCGCTCGCTTTTGCAAAACGACATCCGAACGTCCAAAAGTGTTCCGAACCCCTCAGTTTTTTTTGCACACTTGATTTCGAAATGTGCTTCGCGCCACAACGGCGTGCACTTTTTCCACATCTCAACTTCCAAAAGTGGTCCGAGACCGTCAGTTTTTAACACTTTTGACTTCGAAATGTGCTTCACGCCACAACGGCATGCACTTTTTCGATATCTCAACTTCTAAAAGTGCTCCGAAGCTGAGGTGTTTTGTGCATTTTGACTTCGAAATGTGCTTCGTGCCACAAAGGCGTGCAGTTTTTCATCTCTCATCTGGCCAGATGGCTCCTGATAAAGCCTACTTTTCGACCCGCCGGAGCCGCAAATCATTGGAAAAACGCAGTGAATCGCGACTTTTCTACCTTTTCGCGCGCCTGCATCTTTGTCTTTCTCTTCACTGATCTTCTCTCTTCTGCTCTTCTCTTCTCTGACTCTGCCCACCTCTGCTTTTCCATCTGTCCATATTGACGGAAGTTTGACTTCTAAACTTCCTTCGGTCATATATGGACTAGATAGATGCTATGCAGTTGACACGCGAACGCACAAATTGTAAGGGTTGACTTGTCTTTCCAACTGTTGAAGAAGCTAGTACAGGCCTGAAAGATGTATCCCATCGAAAAATGATGGGCATGCCGTCCTGACGAGAGCACAAACATGTTGTGCTCACGTATTTGAACAGTATCGTCTTCGCAGCACCATCTGGACGTCGTGATCTGGTGATCCAAAGGAAAGAACAACACAGAAAAACAAATCAACAGGGTTTTAACTCAAGAAAATTCAAAAAGGAGATGACATACAAAGTAGATACAGAAACAGCTCTGCCAAAGGGACTCCACCGCAAACCGCTTATTACTGTTATTTCTATATTATCATTACTATTATTATTATCATAATTATCTATTTTATTTTTTTTTACGATTTTGGATGACAACTAGAACAAACGATGACAACCATAATAATGAGACCCTGGCAGGTGAAGAAGGCCGGAGCGCGGGCAGCAGCCAAGGCACGTTTGCAATCTCAGCAGACGTAGTCACTGATCCATTTTCATGGAAAACATCATGAAATACATATTAACATATATAGTAAACAGCTACCACATATATAGAATATTAAATTTTTTTAGGTACCACTAAGAATATGGAAAATACATAGCAAAACCTTTTCCTGGAATGTCATCCACATAGAATATTTATCCACATAGAATATGGGGGTATATATCTATATATATTATATAATATAGGGGTATATATATTTACATTGTCCAAATCTCATTCAAATGGTCTCCATAAGATAGCACCAATGGCATAAACGCATAAATATACGAACCGAAGCCGATACGTATTAATTATATACGTTGCTGAGATCATCATTTGACCATGTAAGCTCTCTTCCCAGAAAATTAGATATTTCCGTAGTACCAAAACAACAGATTACAATGGATTTGTTGACATTTGTGATGCACTTAGAATATGATGGGAACATAAGGAACATACATCAAACTCATTCAAATGGTCTCCATAAGATAGCACCAATGGCATAAACGCATAAATATACGAACCGAAGCCGATACGTATTAATTATGTTGTTGAGTTCATCGTTAGACCATGTAAGCTCTCCCCCCAGAGAATTAGATATTTCTGTATTACCAAAACAACAGATTACAATGGATTTGTTGACATTTGTGATGCACTTAGAATATGATGGGAACATAAGGAACATACATCAAACTCATTCAAATGGTCTCCATAAGATAGCACCAATGGCATAAACGCATAAATATAAGAACCGAAGCCGATACGTATTAACTATATACGTTGCTGAGTTCATCATTTGACCATGTAAGCTCTCTTCCCAGAAAATTAGATATTTCCGTAGTACCAAAACAACAGATTACAATGGATTTGTTGACATTTGTGATGCACTTAGAATATGATGGGAACATAAGGAACATACATCAAACTCATTCAAATGGTCTCCATAAGATAGCACCAATGGCATACACGCATAAATATACGAACCGAAGCCGATACGTATTAATTATATACGTTGCTGAGTTCATCATTTGACCATGTAGGCTCTCTTCCCAGGGAATTAGATATTTCCGTAGTACCAAAACAACAGACTACAATGGATTTGTTGACATTTGTGATGCACTTAGAATATGATGGGAACATAAGGAACATACATCAAACTCATTCAAATGGTCTCCATAAGATAGCACCAATGGCATAAACGCATAAATATACGAACCGAAGCCGATACGTATTAATTATGTTGTTGAGTTCATCGTTTGACCATGTAAGCTCTCCTCCCAGAGAATTTGATATTTCTGTGTTACCAAAACAACAGATTACAATGGATTTGTTGACATTTGTGATGCACTTAGAATATGATGGGAACATAAGGAACATACATCAAACTCATTCAAATGGTCTCCATAAGATAGCACCAATGGCATAAACGCATAAATATACGAACCGAAGCCGATACGTATTAATTATGTTGTTGAGTTCATCGTTTGACCATGTAAGCTCTCCTCCCAGAGAATTTGATATTTCTGTGTTACCAAAACAACAGATTACAATGGATTTGTTGACATTTGTGATGCACTTAGAATATGATGGGAACATAAGGAACATACATCAAACTCATTCAAATGGTCTTCATAAGATAGCACCAATGGCATAAACGCATAAATATACGAACCGAAGCCAATACGTATTAATTATATACGTTGCTGAGATCATCATTTGACCATGTAAGCTCTCTTCCCAGGGAATTAGATATTTCCGTAGTACCAAAACAACAGATTAGAATGGATTTGTTGACATTTGTGATGCACTCAGAATATGATGGGAACATAAGGAACATACATCAAACTCATTCAAACTGTTCCTCACTTAAAAGTTCCAATGACATAAACGCATAAATATACGAACCGAAGCCGATACGTATTAATTATGTTGTTGAGTTCATCGTTTGACCATGTAAGCTCTCCTCCCAGAGAATTAGATATTTCTGTGTTACCAAAACAACAGATTACAATGGATTTGTTGACATTTGTGATGCACTTAGAATATGATGGGAATTTAAGGAACATACATCAAACTCATTCAAATGGTCTCCATAAGATAGCACCAATGGCATAAACGCATAAATATACGAACCGAAGCCGATACGTATTAATTATGTTGCTGAGTTCATCATTTGACCATGTAAGCTCTCTTCCCAGGGAATTAGATATTTCCGTAAACAGCGCGGACATCGCCATGCAACATGATGGTTTGATTCATGATCAACTCAGCACATCTTTACAAGGTTTATATTCTATGTGCATCGTCTGTGGATATGCACTTAGAATATTGTTTTCACCCAGGAAAAATCATGTAACGAATAGACGTAATCGAAAATAACAATGATTAATATTCTAAGTGCTAGCCGGTTACTATATATATATCTAGTAACTAGTAATAACACACACAGACACACATATAACATGCATATATATATATATACACGCGTATGTAAAGAATAGTCCGTTTGCACAAGTTTTCACGAGGTGTTGCACGTGATGGTCCATGACCCCGTTCTGGTGTTTGTTGCGGTTTGGACCATTTCTGGTGTGTGACCTCCCCGACTCCCTGATTACTCCTACCTTCAGGCAGCTTCACCTGCAGTGCAAATTGCCGCGAAAAAAACTGAAGAGACCAGAGTGGCCGAGGCAGCGAGTGAAGCAGCCCGGGTCCCGATGCTGCCATTGAAGTCACACCTATGAAGATTTGTATTTTTTTTCCCGAATTTCCCATTGAGATCTTCTTCTATTGACTTCTCAGATACTCCTCTCATCTTCTCTCAGGTGTATCTCCCGATGAGCATCCCACACGTGACATGTTTGGGGAATTCCCAAAAGCTCTTGAACTCAATCTCGATTTCCCACAAATCACACCTCTTACACCAAAAGGAAGGTTGTGATGGGCCTGACAGATCAGGGATGGTCAAGATGATGCGTTGCACCACGGAATTGAAAATTCTTAACAAAAATGAACCAAGTAAATCAAGTAAAGAAGAAAAACAGCGAAAGGCGATCAAACGCCAACGAACAAACATCAGAGACCCAGGCCAAGCCTTACCATGAAGCACAGTTACGAGATCGGAAGCTTGCTGCGGATTACCAGCTTGAAGCCCAGGCTGGATGCAGCGATATTTGCAGTGGTGGGCGATACCGGGCCAATTGTTTATTTTTATAGAATAAATGTAAATGTAATATAAATATATGTATACATACTCATAGTTATATACTGTCTCATAGTTATATACTGTTATACATATATATATATATTTGTCTATGGATACTGCATCCGTACGCCCAGTGTATGGGCCGCTCCACTTTCAACTGACCTGTAGTTCCGACAGGCGATGAACGCGCAGGGCAACCAGCTACAGGTGGAAGGAGCTAGCTTGGCACCAATTGCAGACAGCCTCTTGGACAGAAACAAACATGGGGTTGAACCTGTCGCTTTGGGGATCTTGTGGAGAATCATAGAGTATTTTTGACATGATTTTTGTGCTTTCATGTGCTCTTCACTTCCTGCAAATCCTGGACAAAGAATTGGTGCATCTCTGTGGCGGCAGTTTGCGACTAAATTCATGTTTGTAATGTATTGTAATTATTGTTATGCTTGCTTACCTGTGTCAAATGTCGCAACTTCACCTTGCAGCGACTGGTGCAAGTGCCAGGTCGCTACTGCATCAGAGAAACACATAGAAGACACATCAAGACACCATGAAGCGAATCAATGAAGCACCAAGGCTATCAGAAAGCAGGAAACGTGGAGGAAGCGAATCAAATGATCCGAAAAGCACATCTTTTGGTTGACCAAGGACGCCAAGTTGGTCAAGTGGAAGTCTGGTCACAGAACACCATGACTCTTAGAGGTCTACTTGACTACCCATAGAACATGCAAGAACTTTGAGAACTCGTGTGACAATTTTGAACAATTCCTTTCAGCAGACGATCAGAACTCTCCCTCCATCTCCTACGCTTTTTCAACAGGCTAAGACCACATGCCTTTACACTCCGTTATGCAGTGCTATTCATGCGGTTTGTCATCGGACATCGAAGATGTCATGCACTGATAAATAGCCCAGCTTCAGAAACCTGCAGTGCTTTGTTTTATCTCAATTCTTTCGGGCCTATCGCATCCGGTGAACAAACCAAATTGTTTTTGCAGCTAATTATTCTCAAGACATGGAGGAAATTGAAAGCATTCAAGACTGCCATGCAACCTTTTGACACTTGTTCACACCGCTCTGGTATGGTCCACCCTATTAGTGCATGAGCACACCTTGCGCGGTGATACATATCAGAGAGGGAGCCGGTATTCGCATGCGGGTATGACGGTCGGGCAGCCTTTGGCTTTCGGCTTGGTCTTCGGCTTGGCCTTAGCACTGCGATCCTCATCCCGCTGTGTGAGCGGTCATATCGCGCTTTAGCTGGATCTGTCTGACAGATCAGGTTCTTGCACAGGCTTGATAGGACATTGCTCTGCCTTCCTCTCTTGTTTGCTCTCACCTCCTTTCTGTCCTGCTGTTGTGCTGTCCTTGGGTCCTGCTGTTCTGCTGTCCTTTTGTGCTGTTTGCTCTCGTGCTTTTCTCCTTTGCTTTCCTTTCCTGGTCTCCTGCTGCTTGTTTCTTCCACCATCCTCTCACAAGTTGCCATTTTCAGATTCCAAGTGGTGACACCCTTGCTGCTTGCAAGTCCCAATGGTCATTTTGAAGTCTCAAGTGAGCCACGTTCAAAACTGCCGGCAATTGATTTCATTTTTCGGTGGAATTTATTCTTTAAAACATTGAAAAATTGAATGGCGTCACCACTTAGTGGTGATTTTCACTTGCGGTTTCATTATCATGTTCCGATATGTTCCCCAGAGCTGCCTTCGTTCTGCGCTAGGATTGAAGTTGAAACGACAAGCCAAGAAGATCCACCAGAACGCAGTTGAGCTCAACAACGCTCTGCCGCAGTATGCGATCGCTGAGCAGGCAGATGCAAAACCAGTACGCAGGAACACAAAGGGCATTGATAGCATTAGCGGTTTTTAGGCTTTTGAAGAGTTTTGTATTGAAGTATTTGAATGTATTTAACACAGTATGCTGCTCTATTTATATCTCTCGGTGAAGAGACTTGACCTATACAGCCAACATCCAACGCACAATGAGGCAGCGTCTCTTCATGCAGCTGCGATGGCAGCTGAACCCACCTTGCCGACCAATGCTCCTCCATATTAGGTTGACAAGACAGGCCAGGGATATCCTCTGTTGAGTACTGTACTTGTTTCGGAAGATGGATGGGCAAAGGGGCTCGTAGAACACACATTTGTCCTCAAACCTGTTTGAATCTGTTTGCCAAGACTACACAAGACATGGCCATGGATGACCTAGCTCAACCTCAACACACACACACATATATATATACGTTTATGTATCCTGACTCCGGATATTAATCAGAATCAGCACTGGCTCTAGCCACCAGTGTCATCTGTATTATCCATATCATAATCAATATCAGCATTGATATCCTCATCGGTATCATCATCGGTATCACCATCAGTATCGCCGTCAGTATCACCGTCGTCGTCGTCGTCATCATCATCATCAGCATCATCATCAATAGCATCATCAATATAATCACCAATAACATCATCAATATCACCATCAATATCAGCATCAATATCATCATCAATATCAACATCAATATCCTCATCAAGATCCTCACCTCCTCACCAATATCTTCAGTATCATTATCAATATCCTAGCCAATCTGTATTATGACAATGGCCCAGCATATCACACATCATTTTAATGTCTTTTTGTGCCTCTTCTTTTTTTGTCCTTGTTCTGACATGTATCATTGGGAATACTGAAGGCACCACAAACTTTTGCAGGTCTCCGCACCAGCGAGCAACTTGTCGCGGTAGAGTTGTTGCGGTAGACTATAGACTGAAGACACCAGAACTCTACACTTTGAGATTTACAAAGGCAATCGACAAAACACATTAGCCTCAATTGAGGACCCAGCATGACCTAGCACTATTTGTCAGGAACTTTGAACACTTGGTGGAAATCTAATGGTGGCAATAGCTTGTGGGTAGACTGCACTGCAGGTCTTCTCCGTCGTACGGTCCTGAACCAGCATGTCTGTTGACAGTGCTGTGGCCAAAATGGTCAGAGCATTGATTGCAACCAAGCTGAAAAACCCCCTTTGCAGCTGAGTCGCTTTTGGACACGCGCTCCTTGACTAATTCTGTGAGATGTACAACGAGGCAAACTCTTGAAGTCCCTTGTCCCTGGCAACTCTGGACTCTGGACCTTATTACGATTTGCTCAAGGAATTTTGACATTCAGGCATTCACGTTCACCCCACATGCTTGCATCCCTAGCCATAGCTACAATGGACGACTTTACCTGCCAGTTTCTTGGCAGCCAGCATAGATCAAGAAACAAACTTGAAGACAGTATGTAGCTAGCTGCTCCTCCTACATTATTTAGTGCTTTCAACACAGCTGTCCTGTCTTGTGTTGAGTGTTTTTACAGAAAGATTCTCCAACCTCCACCTTTCTTGCTTCTGGCTCAGCATCTCAGAATGGACGTCGGGTGCATTCTAGATTCTTCCTTCCAACAAGTATACATTCCCCTTACCCATGACACTTGCCCAGAAGCACTCTGTCAATGACAAGACTCCAACCTCATTTCATGTGGAGCCGGGTGGCAATTCAGCACCCAGACGTTCAATACAGTTTTCCAAAAGATACTCATTTTTGTCCAGCTGAGCAAGATCAAGATGTGCCATTCCAGAACTGTCAGATATATGAGGCAGAGAAGTTGAATTTGGCACTGCTACGACCCTGATGAAATGACATTGCCAACTATATTTGACAATTTGTGTGGCGTTCTGATTTGACAAGAGCCAAGCTTTTGGCCTGAGTGCCAACTTCAGCAAAATCAGTAAGCCACCATCGCAGCACGTGTGGGTAAGAGACATTGCTGGGTCCGCTTGCTGCCTTTGTCTTGACAATCGCTTACCGCACCATGAGCTATGGAAGGGGTAACCAGCAGGCACCGATGAATGTCTGTGGCCACTCCTTTCGCCAACAGCTTGAAGATGCGTGAAGTATTTGACGATTTTGAAGCAAGTTAGAACTAAGTTAGAAGCATCTGGAAGTCATGACGGATACTTTGAGGCCATGGCCGCAGCGCTATTTGAATCAGTGGAGACGGATGTCAGCAGTGGACTCAGTACAGTTTTACACCCTTCAAGTTGGAGTTCCTGCATCTGTTGGTACTAGTACTTGATGGTTTCCACACTGTCAGCTTTCAGAACTACCCTGTCTGAATAAGACATCTTCCTTAGATATCTTAGATGGCAGTCCCAAATAGCATGAAGCAGGGCCAGCATTGACAAGATTGGAGTAGATGAGTAGATCCACGAATCCTGACATCATCCGGTTGGCCCAGGTTCAAGAACCATTCGCATGACAAACTTCCCAGCTGGGTGGCAAACTCTGGCTGAGGCCGAATATCAAAAAGGCTTTGTCTTGTGTGATATCGTGTGATATCCATTTACATCGAGAATTGAGAATTTGATATAATTTGATCCCTTTCTATTCATTAAAGTCCGAAAAACACTGGAACCTCCTAGTGCATCCTGTCTTGCTGCAAGCCCGCTCCCTTCTAGAGCGTGGTGTTGTCGGAAAAGGTCTTGAACCAAGATGTTTCACCAAGGATTCATGGGAAGTTTCTGGGTGAACTTTGTTATTTTCTTTCGCTTCTGCAGGCACAACTAGTCGGAAAAATCAAAGCGCTGCTACAAACCATGGGGGGCTTGGAGCAACCGCCCTCTGTCTTGCGCGGGAAGCACGATCAGGCGCTGGGAAAGTTGCTTCACCAACTCAGCAAGAAGTCATGTCCAGGAAATATCAATGAGGTCTTGTCGCGTCTTGTCAGGAAATCGTGATGAGCTTCTGTCTTGTTCTGTACAAAGTTGACAACACGGAAAGCATACCCTCCGGTAATCAGACATGGTAATTGGAAATCCCCGACGGAGATTTTAATGGGACAAAATGGGACAAAATGGGACAATCTATAAATGGTGGATTTGCCGGGATTTGCGGTTAACACATTGCTGGATAGTAGGATGGTCCAAGAGAAAGACCCAAGCCTTCGAGGCCGCCAAGTAACACTGGTCATAGTGATTCCAACCCTGTAATGTTGCCTTCCACATCGTGGGGATCATGGTTGGGAATGGTTGGGATGGTGGGGATCAAAATCTCATATGAAATATTATGAAATCATATTATCTTTCTATCATCTATGATAATCTATTGCTGTAATAGATATTTAAGTGATCTATATATCCACTGTATGTCTCTCTCTCTATATTATATATACATATATATATATAGTTATATCATATCTATATAGTATATATATATAACACACACATACTTATATATATATGTACATAATATATATATGTACATAATATATATATATATATGTACATAATATATATATATATATGTATATGTATATGTATATGTATATGTACATCGCTTGTGATATTTTGTCACATGGGGATCTGCAGTTGATGGCCACAGCCACCTTCAGCGCTCGGGAGAGTGCCGAGAAGGCTGTGAAGACGTTGCACCTCGGACGATAATGATGAAACATGATAAACAAATGTCATTTGTTTATATATGTCAAGTAAATAATGGATCGTACATAGTGATGAACAATAAAGAGGTAAATCATCCAACAACATGTCCGGTACTTTTGAGTCAACAAACCAAGAAACGAAGAGGTAAATAGGAGGGAGAACTATGAACAAGCAAAAGATGCAAAGAGGCACATGAAAAAAGCAAAAGTAGTGATGACAAAGCGATACAAGGATAAGATTACAAAAAACACATACTACATCGCTCATTGGGTTCAACAAAAGAGATTTTACGTAAATGGTTTTGCAGAAAAATAAGCTTGACTTTTGGATAGGTTTGCAGCTTGACAAAGTCCTTCCTCAGCTATGACAAACTGATCTCCCGCAAACCTTTTCGACGCTGCCTAGATTTTGAGGCATGGTGTGGACAATCGAACTGAAGCAGATTCTTGGCTAAGACTCATATAGACTCATTGCCACTCATTCCCATGAGCAGCATGCGGAAGTCGTTAGCATCCAATATTTCTAAGACTCCAGACGGCTCCATTTCTTGTTGCTTGAGGAGAAGCGACGCATGAACTATGCGGCGCCTCGCGATGTCGACAAGTTTGCCGTCTTTCTGCTAGGCGGGAGCAGAAACAGATGGATTTCCTGCAGGAATAGACCACTGGCATCTCTACAGTATACTCATCCTGTACTTGACGTGGCTGAAAATGGGTTTATGACAACTTGCAAAAAGGCCAGCAACAAAACGTGCATAACCACACAACCCTGTGAATTTGTGAATATTAGTGTAGTTTACGTGTGCATTGAGATATTGTGTTACCTGATGCCAACATGAACAAGTCAAGTTGGCATGATGTTGTACTGTTCCTGAAAAGCACGGCTGTGCGGCAACATTTCACAAAGACTCGAAAGGACTGTTTGCATCATATTTATGTGATTGTTTGTTTGTCCATCTAATTGCGTTTGTCTGTGTGTCTATCTACCTCTATGTCTTTCTGTCTATGGATTGATCCTGGGAAGATCCATCCATCCATCTTTCCGCCCATCCAATCCCATCCAATCCCATCCAATCCCATCCAATCCCATCCAATCCCATCCAATCCCATCCAATCCCATCCAATCCCATCCAATCCCATCCAATCCCATCCAATCCCGTCCATCCAATCCTGTCCCATCCCCTCCCCTCCCATCCTCCATCCATTCATATTTATGCAATGCTCAAGTTGGAAGAATCTCACACCGGCGTAGACATCTCTGCCACTGCACTTGGATTACCCGGATACTGTAGAGCTGGCGATGGAGTGTTTTGGCAGCGAACTCTCTGTATTCAATATGATATCTACTGTATTCCGAGTACATCACGTCTTTGTGAATCGATTTCTTTTTGCGATGAATTGCACAGATGCAAACGATCCACCAACAGGTACTTCTCCTGAGCCGCGGGAGATACGTGAGGCCACGCACAAAAGTCCACTTGGTTCAATCATGTTCAATCAAATTTGTTTTTTGTTTTTTAATTCATTTGCGCCTTCAAATCTGACGCTGATCCCGTGGCGCGATACTCGTTCCTCTCGACTCAGATTGCCTTACATGAAGGCACAATATCTGGAGCTTCAGCAAAATCTGACTAAACTGACAGGGCACAAAAGGCTGTTGTGAGCCATGGAAATCCGAGAGCTGCTAGAATTTGTCGACGCCAGACAGGATGCTGGTCCTCCTTTGTTGCTGTACGTCGATGAAATCCGCCAGTTGGAGGATGAGGCAGCCTGTGTTGTCCCTCTGGAACAGCAGCTCTTATAGCAATACTTAGAAGGAAAATTGAAAAGGGATGCTGCGGTTGGAAAGCGTTGAACTTCCTAGAGTGATATAAATTCATGTTTTCATGACATTTGGTCATTTGGGCAGATCATTTGTTGGACTGAACTCCTGCACGCGGTCGAGAGCCTGTGAGCAGCTCTTTTCCCTTCTGCTTTGCCAATGCCCAATCTGTTAGCAATATTGCAACATATTGCAACGACCAGGTGCCATCTGCCAAGGAGGTTTTCTTGAGGGACTTGCCTGTAGAGGCCGATGGGAATGCGGGCGGAAGTGGCTGGACACCGAGTCCTGAAGAAGTCCGGGATCTTGCGTTAATGGCCACGGGCGTTAAGCTCGTCATACTTGAGTCACTTGAGGGATGAGGGCAATCCTGTTGCCGTGTGACTAAGCTGCATGACGTGGTCCATCAAAAATGAACTGGAGAGCAGATTAGCATTGTATGAAGGAGTACTCTTTGAATATCTTTGGCAAGATTATGCTCCGCTGCTGTGTCCTCAACAAAAAACCGGGCACCTTGATCAAACAACTTACCAGGTTTTGCTCCCCCAGGGTTTTTCAATGCATAATCACCAGCTATGTATTTTGGTGACAGCTCAACAATGCTCAACAGTTCCACAGTGGTATTTTATTGCAATGACGAATTCATCCGTCATGCTGGTCTTCGAACAGCCTCTCTCTTTGGCGCCGTGTCTGCAAGGTGGATGTGTAAGATGGGTTCGTGTGGACTTGAGCGCTGATAAGTTTTTTTTTTGTGTATGGTCAGTAGGGTCCCTCGAATTGCTGTCTTTTCTTGTCTGTTGTCTCTACATGTTTCTGGTGACCCTCCAGAGCTCAGGTGCAAAAGGGTGAACTGGACGGCGAATTCATGGAGCTTTGCTTGCGCGTTGGTCAGTCGGAAGCAAAGCTCCTCCGTCCAAAGCGGGAGACGCTTCAGCTTCAAGTGATTCCCAGCTGCATAGAGCCTATCTACAGCTGAGAATCAAAAAGAGCTGACCAGACGCTGACATCAGAAATATAGCGACCCTAGTCCCCTATTGTAAATCAAGATTGAGCTTGGAAATAGTGTATGAACACATTCAAGTGACATGGCCTCTCTTTCTCTTTCTTTCTTCCCCCACCTCTCTTCCTCTCTTTCTCTCTTTCTCTCTTTTGCTCTCTCGCTCTTGCTCTCTCTCTCTCTCTCACAACGCACACACACAGAGAATTTGCCTCACTGATTCAATTTGACAAAGATCTTTTGAAGCATACATGTCCCATGTCCCAACACTCTTGCGAACGTTCCGTTCTTTGACTTGGTATATAAGAGGGCTGCATTCTCTAATATTAAATATCTTTATAAGTGTCCCAAGTGCTCTTGACTTAAAATTAGGACACACACACGCACACACATGGATAGACTCTTTCTCGGATGCCGCGGAGACTTCATTTTATCAAATGCCCGAGGAAGAAATTGTGCCGCTTAGAAAGCAAATAGATTTTGAGAAGAAACAGCTTCCAACCTGGTGCCAAGTTGCTGCTGATCCTAATTGCACTGTGTAGAACCGTTGAAAAATGAACATAGAAACTTCATGACACTTGGCTTCTTGTTTGCTCCTTTTGCGCCAAGCCATTGGAAGCCAGAACTGAAGTCAGCGATCCTCTTCTCCCAAGGTCAAAAGATCAAAGCATCATCACTGCTTCTTCTCGATGAATCATCTTCAATTTCGGAAGATCTCCAGGTGCCATGCTCTGGAGCTTGCTTTACTGGGCTTGTTGAACTGAACATGACGGTGCGAGTTTGTTGGATCAACTATTTCTGCTTTTAGTGCAGCTTCCAATGCTGCCTTACAGCGATTTTCGATTGCAATTCCCGTTGTGAAGCGTCTAATGCAGTTACACCTCTCTGAGGGAGTGCACGCTTGGAGAAGCGCGCAGCAAGTGCAAGTGGTCCTTGCAGATCAAACGATGCTTGTAATTCGGAAGGCAAAAGCATATAATATCATATATATATAATATACATATTTTTGATTCTCCTTTTTTTCTGGTACGTTGGCCTGCTGTAGCAGGTAGTTCAACACGTTCACACAAGATTCCAGTATACAGATTCAGGGAACGGTCTGGATGTCAGAGATTGTCAGAGTATGAAAGTCTGAACTGACTGAACTCTGTAAATTTCATGCCGTCTATCATGCCATCATGCCCTGTTGGATCTCTATCCTCGGTTCAATTCATCGCTTGAATTTGTACCCAATATCTCCGAACTTTACAGGACATCCTTTAGTATCCCTGTTTGTCTCTGATTGCCGTTACCACTTATTCTTGTTAGTTATTACTTATTGCTGTAGTCATAACATGAACCATTGTCACCTTCATTGCTGATTATTACCTATTATCACCGGTTGTTCTTGGTTACCACTCGTTATTGCCAAATTTGATTATCACACATGACCCCTGGCTATTGGAAACCAATAACGTACTCAAAGGCTCAGGCACAGTTAGGCCAGCAAAATCGCAAAGGAGATCTATGACAAAATCAACCCAAATCCAATCCCGCAGGTTCACTGAACAACACAAAGAATACTTGCATCCAGCTTGCCAAGAACGTCTCCACATGACTGGATTTAATTTAGAGGCAACCCCAAAATACAGCAAGAACGTATAAGAACCAGAAGTCTGAACTCTAAAGTAAATCTAGCCTACAAACTAAAAGAAAGAAAGGTGGACTTTGAAGCATGGCCAAGCACAGCAGGAATGGAGACAAAGGGAGAGAATCTCGGAGAGAACACACAATAAAAAGTCAAGACTACATGCAGGTAAATCTTGAAAGGAAGGTCTTTGAGGGAAAACTAGACATATACATATATAATATAAATACATACTTATGTATGCTGTAACACTGTAAGATGCAAGGGCTGCAGCTGTTTGCACTCTAAACAGTTGTCAAGGTACCTGTCTTCTGGAATCCTGCGACTTGTATCACTTGCAAGCTCTCTTCCACTTCACCAATCCTCGCAGTGCCAGTGGTGGCAATGGCACACCTATCACGCTGTTCGCATGCGGAATGCAGTTGGAGCTGGCAGCGGGATGAGTGTGGAAGTGGACGCACGCGACGCTGGCAGGAAAGGCTGTAAAGATTTGTCAAGCATGTCGACCAACTAGATTGCTTCAGTCAGGCTGCTCAACACGACAGTATGATCACAGTGCACGCGTTTGCATTACTTTTATGTACATGATAGGTTTGGACATCCTTTGAAATATGACATTTGTTGCTAGACCTGCAGAGCAGTCTCTGACAGCAAAGCCAATCTGCCAGACTGTGGGTGCTGGCGCAGTCTACATCCCTGGCGCTGCTGATGAAGGCTGCACTTTGAGAGTAGGCTGCACACCACCATCGCTTGCAGGAACTACATATAGTATCTTTGATGACACGGGTTATCTCAATTGGGCTGTAAGATCACGGCAGTTGACACCGGTTGGTATGGTTCTTAGCACTGTTGCTCTCGATAAATCACTACACGATTCACAAGTGTATTTGAAGCCTCTACTCGACGATTTTGAGCACAGTTCCGGATAGAAACCAATATAAGTATCTGTACTTACAAATGCTACATGTCTATATATATATATTATATAATATACATATTTGAATATACATATATATATACATATGTATATTTGAATATATCTATATGTATATATATATACACATGTATATATGTATAAAATGTATGTATGTATGTACTGTACTGTACTGTACTGCAATGCAATGCAATGCAATGCAATGCACTGCAATGCAATGCAATGCAATGCAATGCAATGCAATGTAATGTAATGTAATGTAATGTAATGTATGTAATGTAATGTAACGTAAAGTAACGTAACGTAATGTAATGTAATGTAATGTATGTATGTATGTACGTATGTAGTTCATTTAGGTATATATTTACGAATGTATATATGCATATTTGTACATCTATACATAAATATGCATATGCACATATATACATATATACATCTACAAATAGAAACTAAATATAAATAAGTTTGCACATATACATAATATACTACACACATAGATGTGCATGCACACTTGCAGATGCAACAGCATGCATTTATAAATTCATACATTACATGATATACGTGTACATACTTACACATACAGTTACAAACAACACACATATATGCGTATACACACATATATGTACGTATATTTATGTATGCGTATATGTAAATATAAATATACCTATACCTATATATATATACATTATGAAACTGGTGACGGAGGAAAACCTACCTAGGTTCACACCACAAGGCTTCGCTCCATTTCGTCCTCGAACCAGCGTGCCTGCAAGTCTCTGCGGATGCAGCACAACATGAAAGGTCGGTTGACCTGGCCAGATGGATGAAGTCAGATGACCCTGTCTGGGGATACTGCTTTCACACTCCCAAAACAAGAAAAACAAAAACAACACAAAGACAAGCAAAAGGAGAAAACAAAAACAACCAAAAACACAAACGCCACACAGCTCACCGGCTGTTCACAGCAGTTCCCATTCAGAGTTTATATGTCCTTTCAAAATTTGACTTCTCACACATCTGACTTACGTTCGCGGGGCACAGAAGTGCCTGGAAAACACTGCTCGGCGGAAAGTGCGGGCAACTTCGTTGCCTTCAAATACAAAGAGAAATCTTCGAATCGACCTTCACGAGAGGCACCATGTTCAGCAACCCATTTCAAATATGGCTGCTGATCCGGCATGCGGGTCAATTCCTCGTATGAGGCATTCAAACTTGCTACTCTCGGTAAACGGCAAATCGTAGTGCCCCAATCGGCCAACGAAGAAACTCCAGGTGGAAAAGTGATCTTGGAATCCTTGGGCTTCATCACAATTGGATCCTGTTTGCCAGTAGTGGTCAAACCTGACAAGTGATCCATGAATTCACCAGTGGCATCTTCATAGCTGATGGCGTCCCACTCGTCCGTCTCACGCAGACGTTTGCTACCATCATGCATCGATCCACCGCTCATTTCCACGGGAGGACCCTGACGCTCAAAGCGAGCAAGAATCTCACGAGCCATCATCACCTCGGCGTCGGTCACTGGCTTCTCAGGTTTCCGAACCAAAAATCGACCAGTGCAGTCGAAGATCCACAAAACTTTGGAAAACTACGCTCGAGCAAAGCTGTGTGTATCACCGTCCCTCGGTGATGTGCTATTTGGCATGCAGGCTACAAAACTGTACACATGATCGAAAGGCTTTCAAAACTGTGCACGGAAACGGATGCAACGGTGAAGGTTTGGCAAGTCCCATTAGTAGCCCCTTGATTACTAAAGCTTATACTTACCCCTATCCCTCATTTTACATCCCCATTTCAGAAATTCCATTGGCTTCAGCTCGCTGGTGTGCCCTCTGTCTGCGGTGCTCTTTCTCTGCCTTTTTCCTATCCAGGACCAACTGCTCATCGGCCAGTTGATATTTCGCAGCACGAACTACTGATCTCAACAAATCGATCGGTTCAGACTTGTCTTTAGTCAGGCCATCCGCAACCATGTGGCCTGTAGCACACCATCTCGGCTCCAGACCCGTGCGTTGGATTGACTGTCGAATCACAGCTATGTCAATTGCAGTTCTCGTGTCTTCCACAGTTCCGCTGTTGGTGAGAGAAATTAAATAATCATATAAAGAGCGACAGTCACTAATCCCTATAGGCTTTCTACGAAGTAAAATGGACTCAACATCTTCCAAAGCAAAACTGCCATCCAAAGCTTCGCTGACCATAAGGGAAATCCATTCGCACACTCCAGACGCTGTTGCAAATGCTTGGGCTTCACCACTCAGTGTTGAAGAAACCACGCGAGGCAACTTGTAAGACTTCCATGCAAAACAATACACTGGAACATCAACTCCTTTTGACATGCGGTTTGAAGTGAAAGCAACAACCCAGCCTCCCTGTGTTTTCAACTCCGTGGTGTTGGCAAAGGCTGCATCAGACCAGAAACATAGTGTCAGTTCGTTAAGTGGAATGAAGGGTACGGTAATCTTGAAGTCTGACTGTTGACGGGCTCTTCTCACTGCTTGGTTTGCTTGAAGTAGATCATAGACTGTTGGATTGGGAAAACATTGTTGGCTTAGTGATGTTTGAACTGGTCAGGTCTGGTTTGGGTGCTCAACCATCCCAAAGCTCCATTCACTGCTCTCAGGGCTGAGATTTCCTTTTCCGTGGCGGCTAACCAGGGTTTCTTTGAACGTTCCTTTGATACTGAAATTGGCCTGATGTTTTCTGCGTACTCCTTTTGGGAATATGTGATTTGGAAACTGGTTGGACACTGATCATAGATCGTTCCCAAGAACTCCCCATTGCCAGTTCTCCACTTGCGGAAGGGAAATCGGGCTTTCAACTGTTCAATGGCTCGGTCATACTCAGTACCATGACCTCCTGTGATGGTATCATCGACATGTGCGCCAAGAATTCCTTGCATCTTGCCATCCGAGCCATAACAAAAATACAAGAGTCAAACTTGCTTTTGGTGAATCCAGAGCCTTGAGCAACAGTGTCAAATTCCTGATACCACTCGTGAGGAGCATCATTTGCCCCATAGATATTTCCCAGCACCTGCACTAGAGAACCTTCCGGAATTCCTGGAACACCCCCAGGAGGCAGCTCAGCGTACACAGGATTCTGCAGGGCTTTGTCTCTCACATTTGCTTCAAGAAAAGCTCCCTTAATGTCACCCAAATTCATTGTCCACTTGTTTGATACCAACATTTGGAGAATCAAACTTCTTCCAAACTGCGACAATGTCGGAGAGTGACACTTCCCAGCCAGCACTTTCTGAACCAAGTCGGGATCATGATGACCTCGAAGACACCATCGTGACTTGATCTTTGATTCTCCGTCCTCATGTTTCTCCGTCACTACAAACCTGCTTGTCATGATCCGATCTGGTTTCTGTGCTCGGATACGCTTGGCTTGCCCTGGCATGATTACCCTGATTGCTTCTTTCTCATCTCTCAAGGTGGACCATTCTACAACTTTGGATTCATCAATCTTTTCTTGGAGAGCAGGAGGATTATTTGAGTGGTGCAGTTCTTTGGCCATCTTTTTCTTGAGGAAGTTCGCAATCAAGACCTCCAGTGGTTGGGAGGAGTTTTCGATCAGCATGCACAAGTCTACCGCATCTGTCTTGGTGCACTTACTCGGTGGTTCTACGCTTGACTCTCTGGATTGGTTTCGCTTGGTGCCATGAGATTCTTCTAGAATTTCTCTCAAATCATCAGCTTGAGTTGCATGAGGTCTCAGCCACAACATCTCTGGACCCTTTTGATTCATCCTAAGCCTTGCGGGACCATAAGTGCCATTACTAACCCCTTGATTATTATCCCCTGGGCCCATGGACGGCGTGCTTGGAAAAGGTTCACTTCTGAGCCCTTCGGATTGTCTGGAGTCAGTAGGATCACTCACGGCAGGATAGTTTGTTTCAGGACTGCTTCCAGAACCTGGTGCACTTGAAGAAGACACTGTAACCAAGCCCCTTTCCTCGGGAGTCAAAGCGTCTCGCACTTTTCGCACCTTGAACTGAGATTCTCCCGTCCATGGTGGCTGTTGGATCTCTACTCGCTGGGTCAGTGGTTCTGAGAAGATCTGATGTATAATTGGCTCTAATGAGTCTTGCACGTAGGTGGCTCTCCAATCTTCAAATTGAAAGTTCTTTACAACTGGGTCGTCTTGGTCAGGCATGAAAGCGGTTGTGCGTGCAGACTTATGGATGCGACACAGCAAATCTCCTCGTTGAACCCAATGATCTTCCAGCAACTTTGGATGGGAAGCTACCTGCTGTTGAGATCGCACCTCCGGATCACTTTGCTGAGTGAGATCGATAAATTGGTTTCCTAGAAACTTCTTCTGATCTGTATTCACCAAGGCATCAATTCCTAGGAGCTCTCTACCATCGGTTTGAGCAAGCATTCTTTCCTCAGTGGTCACATGTCTCAAGTGTTCTGGAGCTACTTTGAAAAGATTCTTTCGGTGACTGATCAGAAAGTTCCTACCAATCTTTCCCATGACGATTGCAGTACCATACCAACGACCTCCTACCATTCGAACCCCCTTTTCATACTTTTGAGATCTCCAATACGACACATAGTCTCCTGCAAGGAAATCTCGCTCTGCACGTGGTCTTGCTGCTAGTGCGGTTCGAAGGCTTATGTCGTCCTGAGATTGGACTAGTGCAATTCGGGCTTGGGTTCGGATCTCATGGGCACGAGCTGCATTTGCATCATGGAGTGGAGAAGTAGCTGCTATGGGACATGGTGACTCCTGAACAAGGTCTGCAGGGACTCTTGGATTCCTACCGAAAACCAGCTGACATGGTGACATTACTTTGTTGTTCAGAAGTTCATTCTTGGCGTTCATGGTTTGGACAATACACTGTTCGTACTCTTCCTGGTTTTTGGGTTGAACCTGATCCAACATTTTTACAAGAATTATCTCGAACAAATGTCCATGTTTTTCTACCTTCCCCAACTGATTGTGTGCCTCTGCAGCTGTGGTGATAATCCTGGCCCCATCAGTTTCCAACTGTGCACAAACGGACTCGGCGGTGTTGGTCTGCGCCGGGTCGACCAAAACTTCAACCGGCACCCCTGCCCACTGCTGCCAACCTTTCAGATACAACTGCTTGATCAGCTCAGATCTCTCTCTCTCTCTCTCATAAAAGGGAAGCATGACCTGAAAACTTGATGCGAAATCCACAATATTCAAACACTTGATCTTCTGATTCAACTTCCAGCCTGGGAGGTTCTTGACATCCCAGCCGATACGGTGATTGAAATCATGGAAATGGTTTGGTGCTGCAGGAAGGGCTGGTGTCGGTCTGACACGCTGCTGGCAGATGTCACAGCTGGCTTCCACGTGCTCTGCCAGACGCAGTGCAGTCTCAGATGCGCCTGCATTCGTCAAAACCCTCTTAAGGCTCCTGGTAGACGGATGTCCCAAGTTGTTGTGTAGTTTCTTCAAACTGTTCTTCACTTTGGACACTTGTTCCTGATTCTCGGGTTCATCAGAAGATGCATTGGCACTTGACGGGACGGCACAGCATTCAGCTACGCTCAGAGCCAGGGGTTCTTCGCTCGGTTCCTGCACACATGAAAAATGGCAGAGTTGCATTTCAGGCTTGATGCAGCTATACCATGTTTTTACAAACCCATCAGTATACCTAGCAGTCTTGGCACTAAGGTTCTCGCCATCACAACATTTACCCTCAATTGTTTTGTGGTACTGGTGTCCTGGACATGTCAGGGCAAGGGATTCCATGTCGGGGTGCGAGACTGCAAGGCCAGTCATCTTCTTGATCGGCTGATCAGAGTCCGGGTCTGTGAGGCCATATGCACACATGTGGGCTTTGCATTTGGTCAAAAGCCCCTGATCCAGCATCTTTGCAATTGGAGGGTGGTTCCACAGGTCACTGGTCCATGGGTGCTCAATGAGAACCCTACCCCCACGGTGCAGCTGTTTACGGGCTTGTTGGGCGACGAAATCTGCTTGCTTCTCCGCCACCTTCTTGTTGTGAAGTCTCTCGGCTAGGCTCAGCTTGTGCTGATTCAGGCGGTACCATCCGCCCCAGTGCTTGCATTCCGGGCAACAAACCAGGAGTTCAGGCATCTCTTCATTCAGCATCTCATCAACCTGACGTTGCACTTTCGGACATGTAAGATCCCAACCCTGTTTGATGTCAAACGACAAACCTCTGCGACCTTCAGCCTGTGCAATCTTGGCAAAACGTGGAGGAGAAAAAATCTCAGCAACGGCACATCTACTTTCAGCCTTTTGCCAGGCCTGGTGTTGAGACATCAAATTCCGTTTTTGTTTACGGGACAAAACATGTTTCTTTTCATCAGAAGGCACCTTCTCGGTCATCAGCACTTCAGACTCAGTATTCAGAACATCAATGACGTACTGACCTGCGGAGTTAACCTGGAGAGGCTTTGGAGGACCGCCTCCAAGAGACAAGGTCTCGGCTGAAAAATCCAGCACTGCATTCAGACTCTTCATCGTGTTCCTACTGAGCAACAGCGGGGCTGATCCTTTGATCACGGCGGCATCAATTCGACCCTTTTGGCCATTGATGGAAATCGGCATGGACACAACGCGCTCTGAGACCTCTTCATGGCCATTTCCGAAACGAAAAAGGTTACACTGCTTTCGGTCCGTGGGCTCAGGCATGCATTTGGCTTGATACAACCTCATGAAATGGTTCAAAGTGTCTTGACCGATAAGTGTTCGACTACAACCGGAATCCACTATGCCAAAACCAGGAGAGGAAACAAGCATCACTTCAGAAACCATGTTGGGGCCATCCTCAACCATTGCAGCACCAGAAACCGGTTGACTACCTTCGGATTTTGAGGGACGAGTGGATCGATTTGGGCAATCCTTACTCCAGTGTCCCACCTGATGGCACTTGAAACACTTGGTGCGGCTCTTGAGAGTGCGAATGTCCTGTTGAAACTGTTTCTTCACAGTTCCAACCTGGGAGAAACGGCGAGCTTTCTGCAGACGGGAAATTTCACTACGCTTCTCACGCCACGTTGCTGCAAGAATCTCGGCCGTCTCGAGCTCGTCAAGAACCTCGGTGGACTGATTCTCCTGAGCTGAGACATCATGATCTGCCAGAAAAGCTTCCAGATCTTCGAAAACTACTGCATCGTGAACTTCTGTCGAGACCATCTCTTCTTCTCCGGTTTCAACCTCATCCTGAGCCAGAAAAGCTGTGACTGGCTTTGGCTTCGTCTGTTTTGCAGTTGCCTTGAAATCTGGAAAACAACTTCTCATTGCAGCTACCACGGTCTCAATCTTAAAGTCCCCCTGAGTCTTTGCTGTCACTATAGCCCGCTGATCCTCAGAAAGACCACTGGCATTTAGGCAGATCCACCCTCGAGCTTCTGAAGGAAAATCCACCTCGACTTTCCTCCGACATTTGGCGAAGGCTTCTTGGACTTTGGATGTCCAAGCGACTATGGTCTCACCCTCACTCTGGGACAGGGTGAACACTTCTTTCAAACATTCTGCCAGCCAGTCATGCTTGAGCTTGTCGGGAAACCTCTCGTCCAGCGCCTTCCAGAGATGTTTGTCACCATTCTCCTCTTTGAGCTGATCCAGAGTCAGGTGTTCTACAGTCTCCAACGCCGTTCCGTCTAAAAGACAGAAAACAAAAGGGCCCCTCTGCTGTGGTTGCATGTCCTTCTGAGAAGCCATTCGTGCTTCCACCCACAGGCGCCATCGGCGGTATTCTAAGGGATCTAGTGCATCTCCAGTGAATCTCTTACTGTTGCCGAAGTCTTTGTCATTGCTAGCCATGGGATACTGCTTTCTACCAACGCTCTACCTAGAGCTGGCTATCTACCTGGATGCCCCCGTTTTGGGGGCTCCGCTACCAGTTATGAAACTGGTGACGGAGGAAAACCTACCTAGGTTCACACCACAAGGCTTCGCTCCATTTCGTCCTCGAACCAGCGTGCCTGCAAGTCTCTGCGGATGCAGCACAACATGAAAGGTCGGTTGACCTGGCCAGATGGATGAAGTCAGATGACCCTGTCTGGGGATACTGCTTTCACATATATATATATGGTCCCGGCCGGCGGCCGGCAACCCCCCGCCAATGGTATCCCCCCCCCTGGTATCCCCCCCCTGCATACATACATACAGGCCTACCTACCTACCTACCTACCTACGTATGTACGTACGTACGTACGTACGTACGTACGTACATACATACATAAATACATACACACATACATACATACATGCATACCTACATACATACATACAGACAGACATACATACATACATAAATACATACACACATAGATACATGCCTACCTACCAACCTACGTAGGTACATACATACTACACCCACCCCACCCCACAGGGGGGGGCGGGGAAGCATAAATACATACATACATACATACATACATAAATACATAAATACATACATACATAAATACATACATACACACATACATACATGCCTATACCTACCAACCTACGTAGATACATACATACTACACCCACCCGACCCCACAGGGGGGGGCGGGGAAGCATAAATACATACATACATACATACATACATACATACATAAATACATACATACACACATACATACATGCCTATACCTACCAACCTACGTAGGTACATACATACTACACCCAACCCACCCCACAGGGGGGGGCGGGGAAGCAGAGATACCTTGCATGATAGTTGGATTCCAGGGAGATAGTACACCCAACCCTAGGAACCATCACCATGGCGGGGGGGGGGAGGGGGGGTTGCAGGCCTGTACCAGATATATATATAAGCAATTATAAGCACGTATATTTACATGTACGTAAATATGTAACGAACATGTATTGTAACGATGAAAAACATGGTCGGATGCGGAAGAGGAAGAACTGCACAAGGTCATGGTGAAATTCAACAAAACGGAGAGGAAGAGGTACAGTCCTCCGAAATGATATTGCCTGGTTGGGTCTCTTTGGTCAAATGGGATCATGTTTTTTCCAAACCCAAATTGCAGGAGGAAACTTCACGACGCAATGGAATAGTGTCTCACTGCTTCCTAGATCATTTTTGCAAGTGTGGTCCATGGCTCCAAGGTAGTCTCTTCCTTGGTGCACGGGTTCAAAGTTCCAGGTGTTTTCCAATGCTGGCCCCACTAACTGTGCTCTAAGGTCAAGTCAGCAATCCTGTGATCGCAGGGCCACCCGATGACTTTCGCTGGACTGCCTTTTCGACGCTTCGGGCAACTCGAGACATTCGCATCGCAACCTACAACGTTTTGGCGGATGCATTTGCTTCGACAAAACAAGCGAAGAGAGATATGTTCTATTACTGCGCTGCAGACGTCTTGTCTGCGGGACCCCGACGGCAGAGGATCTTGCGAGACTTGTTGAAGATCGATGCTGACATTGTGGGATTGCAAGAGGTTGACGCAACGCAGCTGGCGGTGTTGCGGCCTATGACTACATTGGGGTGGGAACATACACACCTGAAGCACTTTGACCTTATCATCTGCAGTTCTTTACTTTTGATTTCTTGTGGTGCTTAATTATGTCCAATGGTTGGTAACCATAGAGATCTATCATATGTATTATGTAGGTGCAGCGATGTGTAATTGATTAAATCCGAACAGTATATATATATATGTCTTTATCAGTATATCAGAACTCTGAGTTTTGCGCACTGAGTCAACAAGGAAAAGCGGGGCCAGCTTGGATGGATGTGCATTGTTTTGGCGAAGCTCACGATTTCAATGCGAGGCCAGAACACATGTCTAGTAGCCAGCTGAACAAAGGTAGGTGCCTTTTGACTGATGGGATGAGTGTCAAGAGTGTCGTACAAATTTTAAGTTTGAATCGATGTCGAGACTGGCAAGGAAGTCAGCCCACGCCGGCTGTGACAGCACGCCTGCATTATCATTATTGTTTCACAGTATACCTGGCACTCTCCATGATGCAAGGCCCAGATGCAGTGGTGCTTGAGTGGAAAGTTGCCAGGGCTGGAAGCTTGCAGGAAGGTGTGCGGCCACGAGGATTATAGGATTACATAGTCATTGTTTCTGCAGGGGTTCAGGGGCCCACTTTTTTTTTCCAGTCCTGACCGCCAGAGCAAAGAGAAGCATGGGAGTAAGTGTTCTAAAGGGATCAGCCTTTGTGAGAAGCACCTGGCCCATCGCAAAGAAACAAGGGAAAGCGTCATAGTTCTTAAAGGCAGTTCCATGCGCAGTTTGAAATATAGAAGAGACAGGTAGCCGACCGAACGCTCACAAAAACCCCTCTTTAGCTCTGTAATTTGCGGTTCAATTAAGGCTAGCTGCAAGGACTAAATGCTCAAACTCAGGACGACAAGGAATTGCGAGCGCTGGAGGGGCATCCTACCCAAGTGTTGCTAGACAAGATGACAGCTGTGGCGCAAGCCGTGCTTCTCAGAGATCTGCAGGAAGATCGCCTCTTGCTAGTGGCCAACACCCATTTGCAGCTTGAATCAGATGAATCAGCACTTAGCACCTGAAGAACCGTTCCGCACGTTACGACAGACGTTACCAAAGACATCAAAACAAGTCAGCAATTTGATTGTCTTTGAATTCTTGCGAATCAGGCTTCCTCGCCACTGTTATCAGTACGTCCCTTTCTAGCAGCCACATCTCAGTGTTTAACGACGGAAACATGGACCCACTTCGATTCTTTTCTGTATAAATGCCCTCCAGTTTCTGGAATTGCATGCATTTCCATTTGCTGAGTGCGCAGGGTGGTCTAATCTAATGATATCTAAGGTACTACCATCCAAAGGGGAACCACATACGCTTGCTGCAACTCTATAGCCTTCTGAAAGTTCTAGCGCAAGCAGCAACACAAGCTGAATCTGAAGGCACGTGCTGGGAAAAGGATACCGAACGCATGTGCAAAGCGCGATACAATGTGAAAAGATAGGACCGACCAAGAATAAGGCGTTTTTTCTCATGATCTTTGGTATTAAAAACCACATGCAGACTAATGCAGACAATGATATGCAAAGGTACCGTAAATGGTTTTACTGGCAAATGCTGCTGCATAGGTAAGGGCATCCAGTAGGACACAGTCACCTGTAAGGGTCTGGAACTGCATGCAGTTGTATGCCATTCGATGAAGCGTTCTTGCACGCTGGCGACTTACTGTACTGACATGTACTCACCTGCCATACATATCCTGTGGTGACTCAATGCAATGCTACCACCGAATCATATGCAGGGCGATATGACGAATTGTAAATGAAAGGAATGTTCGGAATGACGAATTGTTCATTTCATGCATAGCGTTCTTCCCACCTACTTCGATTGTAGTCCACAGAATGCAATGGACTGTCTGAAGCCTTTCAGGGGCTGGCGTTTGCTTGCTTGCTTGTTTGGCTCTCTGTCTGCCTGTGTGCAATTTCTTAAGAACTTAACCCGGAGCGGAAACTGTGGCTCAGCTTCTGCACTCTGTGTAAGTCAAAAGTTTGCAGGCCAACCCGTGGCTCTCGTGGTGCTCGGGGACCTCAACGCTCGGAAGGGCAACTTCGGACCCACAGACAAGGCGTGGGAAAGGGAGATATTGACGTGAAGTGTTGGGATTGGTCCCCGTCAGCGTTCGAACACCACAGTTCCTCAGATCATTTTGCAGCATTGGCTGCAAAAAAGGTCTGCGTTTTGGATAAGGTAGAGGCTTTATTCATCCATGTTTTGATTTGGGCTGTTTTGGGAACAATGGATGCACGTTTACTGACCACATTCCTGTTTCACCTGGTCTTTGCCTTTTTGCACTCTTTCTTTGCAAGCATGTCGACTGCAGGAATGTTCAAGATCACTGAACCCGGAGCTTTGCAAAGTTAAAAAGCTTCCCGCTTACGATTTGAAAGCAAACAACCAAGGGGATGCCATACGAACAACGAGCAAGACATCACATGGACATGTCACACGGAGGGCAGCATGCTGCAGGAAGAGCCTCCTCAAGCCGCCTATCGCCTTATCCGTGATGGGATCATTCACGCGGATGACTCAGAGACTTGTGCCTCTTTAGCCTCACAGCCAATGGCCAATTGATTTCGAATATGGATGCGATGTTTCGTATTGTTTTCTCCCTCTCCCACCTGTGCCTGAACATGCGTGATTTCAGACCTCTTGAGGATTGGCGGCACTCCACATGGATGCGAGAAGAAGAACAAACGAAGTGCATCTGTTGTCAAGACAAAGGCAGTGTCCCTGGCATCGGCACTTGCCCGCTATGTGAAGGGATGGGTACCTTAGCTGCTATAGCTCTGAGTTTTTGACTTTAGCCGTAGCCCTTGGGGATCAAATCCAAAGGGAAAACAACGGAAAACACAGTACAGAAAAGCTTTTGGGACCATTGTTCCATGCCTAGCGTTCAACTTTGTTTGAAAGAGGCAGGAATAGGCAGGATATGTTTGGAGGAATTGTAGCCATCATGTATCCATCTGCACTTTTCTGTGCAAAGTCGAGAAGCTCAGGCTTGAATGCATGGCATGAAAGCTTCAGCAGCACAGGGGTTCAGGCAGTCTCCAGCTGGACGTCTTTGAATTCTATTGACCAGAAACTTGGGATTTTTACAAGACATCGAACGACCAAATTCATGTGGATTTGGATAGTTGACACACCAATTTGATCTAACTGCCCTGCCTCAGAATCAGGGTCTTGGTCGATTTTCGGAAATTAGATGTATGACAAGACTCACCAAAGCGCAGCGAGTACATGTGCTCATCCGTGTTTTTGTGTTCAATCAGTTCAATCTTAATTTTGGCCCTTTCATTTTAAATTAAGATACCATTAGCACCTGGGACATGATGGGACCTTGAATTGTGGTCGCAGGCTTTGGCACTGGAGCTGAAGCTTCCTTGGCCGCTGAGAGACCCGAAGCCTGGAATTTCCTTTCAGACCTTTCAGTTTCACATGTTCCGCTATGGTCGAGAATAGCATGGTTCACGTGCAGATTACAGACATGTTGTGGATACCAGTACTTCCCAACGTAGGCAAGCTTTTTTGATAGATAGATATAGAGAGGATGAACAGAGCGGATTTCAACTTCAGGTTGGTCGCTTGAACATTGGCGGTTTTCTCGCTTGTGCGTGGGATTTTGGATCGCTTGAACGTTGGCCATGTGGCTGATCTGCCGTTCTTGACATGTTGCACATGCTCGCTTATGCTCAACAGAGGGGGAGCTGTTGCTGTTGCTGTTGCTGTTGCTGCTGCTGCTGTTGTTGTTGTTGTTGTTGCTGTTGCTGTTGCTGTTGCTGTTGCTGTTGCTGCTGCTGCTGCTGCTGCTGGTGTTGTTGTTGTTGTTGCTGTTGCTGTTGCTGTTGCTGCTGCTGCCGCTGTTGTTGTTGTTGTTGTTGTTGCTGTTGCTGCTGCTGCTGCTGCTGGTGTTGTTGTTGTTGTTGTTGTCGTTGTCGTTGTCGTTGTCGTTGTCGTTGTCGTTGTCGTTGTCGTGGTTGTGGTTGTGGTTGTTGTTGTTGTTGTTGTTGTTGTGGTTGTGTTGCACATGCTCACTTATGCTCAACACGGGGTGTGAGAGGGGGGCTTATAATGTTCTTGACGCCTTTGAGACAGGGTCCACGGAACTTGTTGCCGTTGTTGACATGTTGCACATGCTCGCTTATGCTCAACAGGGGGCGCTCTTGACGACTTTAAGACAGGGTCCACGGAAGTTGTTGCCGTTGTTGACAATCTCACAGATGGAAAAAGCGCGGCTCTGCTCTGTGCACTGTGGATTTCGACTTGAGTTTCCCCAGTTCCAAAAGGAAAAAACAGCTGTCAAATCGTTTTATTACCCTGTTGACATCCCTGTCTGCGTCGTCCCCATGTTCCCATGCCCAATGTCCCCGTGTCTCCGTGAGGGGGACATGGGGCATGGGGGCATGGGGGCATGGAGGCCCGAGCACAAGAACCACAATCAACAACTCACGCATCTTTAAGCTTGGACAGTTAGGGGACGGGGAGGACATGAGGACATGGGGACATTGGGGCATGGGGACAGAGCACAAGAACCACAGTTCATCAACAACTCTCCCACCTTTAGGGTTCGACACTTGGGGGACAGGGCGGGTGGGGCCGTGTCCCCATGCCCCAATGTCCCTGCCCCCTGTCCCCTAAGTGTCAAACCCTAAAGGTGTGAGGGGTGTCCAAGTGTCTAATGTTCAGGTGACCCGGAATCCCATGTTCAAGTGAACCTAAAAAGCTCTAAGTGATCCCCCATGTTCAAGCGGTCCAGAAGCCAATGTCCAAGTGATGAGGGTGCCATAATCACCAAAACCTGCGATAGAGCTATAACAAAGACTGCCAGCGTTTGAACTGAGGAATGATCACATTGAAGTCACCAACTTCACTGGAGATTTCCAGGAGAATCCATTAAATGAAGTCTTTGACAGCCAACTGTAGACTCGACTTGTGTCCTCATTTTCCCCAAGAGCCAATTTGAGTCCTGTGGTGAAGAGTTCATATGCTGGCAGTGTCAGCTGTCCAACACTCATGGCAATTTGATGGTGATGACGACTGTGACAACAATAATTAGATTATAAGGGGCTTTAATCTCCTGCGACATTGGGCATCTCCCGCTGTTATGTTGCCCCAACCGATTCCTTTCATACTTCCAGAATCTTTCAGATCTCAAAAGTGTGTGTTCTGGGTCAGATGCCAGCCCAAGGCTTGATCCTTTTTGGTCTCCCACCATATTTTTGCGAATCTTGCTTGAGAGGAATGCTTGGACTACACCCTAATTGATACGAGATGCCTGCGTGCGACCCGGACCTTCGATCCACCACCGTTGGAACGTTTGCGAGAGAGCATTGCTTTGCCGTCAGAATATTTCCCATCCGACCACATCCCTGTCGTTGTAGAAGTCACCTATTCGGATCTGGACCTGGGGACCTGGGGACCTGGGGACCTGGGGACCTGGACGAAACCAAAAACAGCCCACAGCAAGACCGTTTGATTTGCTTTCGCTTAGTGCACTTATATAGATAAGATCATCTAGACGACCACGTTTCGCCTTGGACTTCATTCAAATTGAACTACGTTGGACTTGATAGCGGAATAGGCAGCGTTTTGGACGTGTTGGAACCTTGGTTGAAAATGACCAGTGCTCTACATTTTACTTCGAAACTCTGATGTCCCTACCAAAGTTTCCGTTGCCTTGGCGTCCCTGCAGGATTGAAGGCTATTGAAGCATTGATCACAAAGGAGGCCCTCCTCACGAATCATCGCATCTTGAAGAATTCGAAGCAGGTCGTGATGGACGACTAGCGCCATCTCCTTTGCCAACTGGAACAATTCTGCGACCATCCAAAAGCTTCACGCCGTTGCCAACGAGACATGCTGTCATACTGTACCACTCGCTGAACGATCTTGGCCTTATGATGTAAAGAATATGTGAAGTTTTTTTTTTGCGACGAGGGTGCAATGATATTCCATGATGGAGGTCATGATGTAGTATAAAAATGTGTATGCGATGCGACTATGTGCTATGAAGGCACGGTCTCAGGCCTAAGGCCTCAAGCTTCTCTTTGCCAACTCTAAAATGCTTTCAAGATGTGCAAGTTGCACTATATATTCGGACTGGTCCCAACAGTGAAAGAACTGGGTGAAATATTGAGTGCAGGGCAGTGGTGGGGTGAAGATGTCGGAGAGGCAGAGACACCAGATAAACCCCAACACTGATTACTGAGCAGTTTAGTTTAGTGGTTTAGTTTGGTTTAGTATGCTTTAGTGGCCACCCCACTTCAGATTGTATGTAGGGAGCAAGGTGCAGAAGTGAGGATGCCTGCAAACTGGAATCACATGGAATCACTATTGTGATGAGTGAATGCAAGGGAAATTTGATTTGCAAGACATTAAGCGGTTGGGAAAATGGCAAAAAAAAGCAACTATGCTCAACTGCTAGGACTACACTGAAACCCAGCTTCGAGAATGGCTTCAAGGCAAGGGCCGCTTTGCAAGCTCTGATAGAACAGACCTCACCGATCCTGACCTAAAGACTTCGTGAAAGCCAGCTGCAAGATGCTGCAAGCCTTTGTTCAAGCATGTTGATGCCATACGTTGGCCATACATGCTTCGGTACCTCAGAACATCGATCCCCAGTTTGCCCCGGTTTGTTCTTGTGCTGGATAGGGCTTTGGAACAGGCTTGTAAATCTTCAGCCCAAATATCAGGTGATAAGAACCAAGACAGAGATGGACGACCACGATTCAGATTCTACCCTCCCATCCGGCGCTTTCTACGCAACATATCTAATAGTCTATCGGCGATAAGCGAGGGCTGAGTCAGTGGTGACTTCAAAGGGTCACGATAGACGTATAATATCATATAATGACATATACTTGAACAATCTTGAACACATACTTGTCCTGTTTGCCCGGGGCCGGCATGTGTGAAGATACTCGGCTTCATTGTAGGCTTTGGTCATCCTGAAGGAGCCGGGTTCTTGAAGGACCCAGGAAGCACAGAGCTCAACGGCAAGGCGGGACTCTTTCCGTTTCAATATATTCAGCATTTGAAGGACCACGGAACACCCTTTCCAAGCTGCATTTGAAGCAATAACACATATTCAACCCACAATGATTTTATTTTCAGATATTCAAAGTTTGAAAGTTTTGGTTGCGTAACATAACAATCAATTGCCAGCACAGTTCCAAACTCATCAAATAGGAAGCACGCACATCCTGTGAAAAGAGGTCGCATCCAGGGCTTATTGGTATGTGGAGGCAAGAGATTCTCCAAACAATCTCAAAACACCATTCCATTTTTGTTTTCTATAGACGACTTGGGATAGTCTGCATTTGATTCTTTTTCTTACATCAGAAAACTTACCTCTGGCCAAAACCTGAAGTGGGACACTGTTCTTATACGTCGCTAAAACGGCTTTAACGCATGAATCTTGAACGGCTGGGAATTATGCAATTCTGCCGACGGTGCAGGGCTGGGTGCGCTTCTCCTCACACGAAGAGGCTGTGGGTCTCTTGGCCGCCTTTGCGGAGGAGGAAGAGGAAGGCAAGGAGGGCAAGGACGGCAAGGACGGCAAGGACTGTATCCAATACGTTCCAACACGTTCAACCTTCCACGTTCCAATCCAATATTGTTCTGATTGATTCTTATTCTTGAGATTCGGTCTTGCACAGTATCTTCGTTCATTAGCCATCATCAAAAATGCAATGAAATTGCGCAACACGCTCCAAGGCTATGCTGTGAACAACAGTTGCATTAGTAGGGTCAGATCCAATGCCTTGGGAGCAAAAATGAGCAAATCATGGCAAACTTCTCAGAGTTTCTGAGTCTGAGTTTTTGAGCAATCTGAGCAAGCTGAGCAAGCTGAACAAATGCCTTCTACTGTGGCCATGACGATTACAGGCGGAGTGCAGGGCAACTGGTCACTCTCCGAGAGGCGAGACGTTGGTGAGAACAGCCAGTAGCAATGTGGGACGCACTTTGTTTTTTTTGGCAAGTCAGCAAGTCCAAGCGCAACAGTTGCACGATCAGCTTCCTATACCACTTCTTCCGATCACCTCGTATGACCTGTGATTCTTCAGTCAGAGGTTGCAAAACTCCAACCTGTCTGATGCACTGCAAGCACAGGCTGCAGGGTATCCCAGTTTTGCATCATGTCCAGTAGGTAGGCTCAGGCAGGTGTGGCAGGTAGCTTTTTACGGAATGTCCACTGACCCACTCCAAACACACTCTGCAGCTATATGATGCTGTGAAAGAGGGAGATTGAGCAGCCCAGAGTGCAAAACCACAACTGACTATGGTTACAGACTTGTCGCATTTGTCACATGAGGAGCAAAACAAATGAAACCTGTATAGTAAATGCTCCTGGTATATATATATATAATATATATATATGTATGTATGTATATATATATAATATAGATTCTGTTGCGACTGTAGATTTCTACTCCAGTGAAGGTTGCTTTTACATGCCTTTTAAAATTTCAATTTCTTTCAACTTGATCAGTGGCTGAGGAACCCATCGCCATTGAATGCGGCTTCACAAGGTCCAGTTGGCGCCGAGAGCATTATGCTCTTTCTGTGTTGGCATCAGCAATGGGGTATTGAAACAGAAGAATGATTTCTATAATTTCTTGACATCTTACGTCTCAAGAGTCTCAATGTGTAACCACAACTCCCCTTGCTACGTAAAAGACTGTGTGCCTTGAGCGACCAAGATGCCAATGCTTTCTTGCATGCACAGACAGACAGATAGATAGACAGACAGACAGGCAGGCAGGCCGGCCGACCGACAGAGAGACAGACAGACACACACACACACATGTATGTATGTATATATATGCATAGTATTGCGATGTATTGCGCATGTATTGACTCGTTTGTGAGTACATGCTTGCAAAGATGTGTATATGAATATTAAATATAGTACAAACAGTATACAGTGATGCACATTTTTTTTTTGAACCCGGCTTAGTGAGTTATGTTTGCGCGGGCCAATTTGTGGACACAACCAAATCCATCTAAACCAAACTCCGTTCTCCATGCAGCTTGGAACACGGTCGACCAAATGTGACTCTTCTCAGAATACAGATCCGAAGCTCCTGCTGAGACTTGAATTTTGACACCTTTTGAATTGAGACAGCCATGGGTAAATGAGTACCCGCCCCTTTTCTCGGAAACTTTAATTGAATTTGCAACAACTTTTACATCAAGCTTGAAGTTGTATATATATATATATAAAATATACCCAGTGAGGTGATTCCCATTAGCGCATCATCCTCAGTCTTATCACACCAGGGCCGAAACAAAATTGAAAATTCAGAGAAGAGGAATGCCATGAATGCAGCTACGAAGACGCTGAGCTACCAGGCTTCTTCTGATGGGAGGTGGCCGCTCTGCACAGGGTGCGAAGTGGGCATCCTCTGCGTTAGTACAAGGGCCATTGACCTTTGCAGTTTTCGCGCAGGCCAGGCCCAATTTCGTGAAATCAGATCTAAAGAAATGCTACTTGTATAGAGAGGCCCTTGTCCTGGAACACAATGAATTCAGCACTTCTTAATCTTGTCTCCACATGTCTCCACCTTCTATTCCTCCTCTTGCTCTTGACATGTGAAAACCCTATAGAGCAAGGACGTAGCTGCTGTGCTCGGAAAGAAGTTGCCTGTCATGACTTGGTCCAAGCTTCAAGGGAGGACCAAATTTGCAAATGCATCGTACCAAATTTGCAGCTTGGCAGGGTAACGTTGAGAAGCTAAAGGCCCGCTTGCAGGCCTTGATAGAGGCTTGGGTCGTAGAGGGCAGACAATGACAAGGAACCTATGTGGTAATGCTCCACTGCAACAGCTGCATTTTGTGGAGGATTTCAAAGTTTAGCATTTGCAACATACAAACAATCCAGTTTTGCGACGCTCATCGACTCCCTTCGATGTGGTTTGCGAACTGACGAGAAAGTCCACACCCCATGATGGAGCCCACCCATGGTAGTTGTGTGAGAGAATCTAACTGCATCGAAATCGCTCAGACTCTCAGAGTTTACATCGAAATCGCTCAGACTCTCAGAGTTTACCATTGTGGCAGAAGTCACTCATTCTCCGCACAATTTTGGCAAGCATTGCTTGGGCGAGACAGGAAGCACTCTCCAACCCAAGCTCTTTCAGCGGTCAATCCACGGCAACTTGGCCACGTTGCGGCTGATGACAATTGGCTTCTCAGTGACCTTTCTGTTGGGCCACACCAGAGCGCAATTATGCAATAAAGTATATATATATAATAAAATATCATAAAATATACATGAAATTAATTTTGTAAAGTAGTTCCGATAGTTATTTACAAAGGCCTGCTTTCTTCATTTTCTTCGTCCGGGTCCAAGGCTTCCAACTTTAAACCGACTTCTCCCTGCATCATGGTGAAGGGCTTCCCTAGGAGCTGGCGTGAGCAACAGGCTGGAGCCTGGAAGCGTTTCGAAATGTTTCGAATGCCCATGTGTCCAACTTTTGGTCGTTCCCTTGCCCACCAGTGGAAAACCTATTCTAGGATACTTTAAGTTTAAGCTTCAAAGGTTTTTTTTTAAAACATTTTTTTTACTAGATCACAACCAGACACCTTCTTGAATGCAAGCCAAGCAATTTCCTTCCTATGATCATAGGAGATCATAGGAGTAAGATGGGTAAGGAACCTGGAGCAAGGAGGTATACTAATTAAGTCACCTCCCCCGCCATTATCCGCCATTTAGGGGTCGTGTGTAAATCTAATATCATCGACCTACACAATTGTCACCCTGTAAACAATGGCGAATATTACATGCTTTCGCAGTATATCATATATATATATATATGTATATACTGTATATGAATGAATTTATGTTCCTGCGTGTCTTTGTCGGTATTTGTTCTTCATGCTCACAGAAGCAACCTTTTTGAGGTTGCTGTGCAGCAATCCCGTCTTCAGGTTCGCCTGGTATTCGCGCTATTCGGTGGCGTTGGTGCTGTGCGCTTTGTGGTAGATTCGACTGGTCAGCGCGTGGCGTATGTGGAGTTGAAGAACCGGGAAAACATGGCAAAGGCTGGGGTGGCCTTTTCATTTCTTGAGCGAAAGAGCTCAAAGTCGAATGACAAATAAAACATAATGATTGACATAATGAGACTGAACTGAACTCTTGGAATGTGCACTTTGGATGAAGTGAGTTGAAGTCTGCTACAATTTCGCACACGTGGGCATCGGCGCAGGCCGTGGAGCAGCTGCACAACACCAAGGTTGGTGATGGAGAGCTCATTGAGGCTGGACATTTTGGGAGCGTTTGGCCTACACTGAGTTCTTCTGAGTACAGATTCCTACTGATTTCCATGAAAATTGCATAACTTCCTTTTTTTATGCCAAACGAGCCGCAGCTCCAGTTCTTTAAGGGCTGAAAAGTATGCTGCTGTTTTGATGTTTTGATTGCAAAAGACTGTTCCGGAAGATGGCGGATGTCAGAAACCTCAGGAATGCGTGGTCTCCTGCGAGCTATTTGGTGACGCTTTAGGTGGCAGAAGGCACAGACAGCACAGAACTCACTTTCTTGAAAGCTGAGGTGCTAAAAAAGATTGTCACATTTCTGTGCATTTCTTGATCATTTTGGTTCTCGGTGTATTTGTCGCTCTTTTTGTTGTTTTTTTTTAACGCACCGGTTCAATGCCCACCAAGCTTGCAGTGGCAGGGCAGTGCGGCGGACAATATTTTTGGATGAGCTGAAAATGCCGAAGAAACCGGACGTCAAACCCGACAATGAGGCGCCGACCCCTCTCCGCAGCATCAATGTCAAAGCGAGTGCCGATTTTAGCTGGCAGAATTGAATGCTTGCCGCACATTTCTGACAAGTACTTTACTTGGTACAGTTTGGCATGTGGGCCGATTCGGATTTAGCCTTGTTCCGTGTGAATGCACTAGACAACGCCACATGAGAAGCATGACTGAATGAAACGCGCACGTTCCAGGACAGAGAAGTCTTCATGACGGGCCTGCCGATCAAGGACTCCGGAACAAGTCTTGCCCGTAACAAGTGCCAGTACGAAGTCTCAAATTATGAAAGCTAGCTTGTGCTAGCTGAAGTTGCTCTTGCTTTAGCAAGGAATAGGCAGTTGTCGTCCTCGTCCTCGTCCTCATCCTCATCCTCATCATCTTCTTCATCATCATCATCAGATCATCATCAGATCATCATAAGCATTATTATCAAAATCATTCCTACCCACCATTATCGTCATCAGTTCATTAGTTTGCTCTTGCAGCTGCGCAGTCTCCGGTACAACATTAGTAGAGTCCTGCTAGCTTTCGTACCTCCCTCCTGGCCTCAAGTTCATGACACGTGTTTGAGCATTAGCTTTGAAGTAGGCTTGGAGATCCTTGGAGTATGTCATAGTTTGAGTCAGTCAATTAAAAGCACAAAAGATGACAAACCTCTTGCGAGTCAAGGATTTCAGTGAAGATCAACTTCGTCAATGGCTTGAAGGCTTTGGACAGATCGAGGAAGTGTTCCTTCTTCGAGATGTTGTGCCTCGGCAAATTGCACCAGGAGTCGTTCTGCCAATATCATTCTCTTCAGAGTAATTAGATGCAATTAGAGTATTTGTGTGATTTTGCATGCCCTGCCTACTTACATCATATGGAATACAGTAAGTGGACGAAGCTGGGTCAGCTGGGTGGACTCTTTCACACACGAAGCTGGGCTTCTCAACTTTTCGGGATCTTTTTCCACTGGGCCCAGGACCGTAAGCTCAATGCCAAGGGCTACGTGCGCTTCACTTCACATCGACATGCAGAAAACTGCATTCAAGCACAAGCGCTGGAGCCTTAGAATGTGGGATGCAATGTAAGTCAGTATGAGGTCTCAATGTTGCTGTTGATTTTGTGAGTCTCTTCTGACGCTCGCAGTAATTATTTGCATCAATTCTTCCATGTTTCATGTTGTTTCTGACACAGTTTCATTGAGGTCAGAGCAAGATGCTGAGGAGGGCGATGTGATCGCCTGGTGGTCTCAATCTGAGCGTGCTTTGCGAGGGGCCTATGGCCCAAATCTCCACAGCACGCTGGCGAGCAACGATGGGCGTCCCTTGACACAAAGGGATGCGATACGTTTCCACAAGAAGCAGATCCTTAAGCAGGTTTGTATTTATTTTCCTACCTGAAAAATCATTCGTGCTAAGCCGAAGCTTAAACGGCACAGCAGACGCAGAAGTCTCGGTAGACACGCCAAATAGAGCTTCAATGGCCACGCTGAGGAATTTTTTCCCACTTGTTGGAGGGTTGCGAAGTCCGAGATGTGTGGATGCAGTGCCTTGGCTGACGCATAGTGCAGCCGTATCTTTTCGGAATTGATGGAAGTGTGCACAGGGAATCACATAGAATCACGCAGTGGATGCACAGTGGATACACAGTGGGTGACCAGGGTAGAGTAGCAGCCGCTTGATCCAATGCTCAGGAGTCGGTTGTGGCCACCCAAAGATCCAGCTGCTCCTGCACCACAAGGAAAGCAGGCGACAGTTGGATACAGTGGGTAGGGGATCAGAAGGAGCGACGAGGATAGTCGATGGATGCCTTTGAAACAATTCAGTTTAGTTAGTTTACTTGGATCTAGATTCTAGAAACAAGATCAGAAAATGATAGTTAGACATGTATCGAAATGTATATTTTTGATCACGATTTCTGCCCAGACATGTTGATCGTGTACTGTTCCATGCATCTATCCTAGTCACATCGAGACTGTCTCGGATTTGAATGAGAGAGGGAATATGAGCAGTGGGAAACTGAATGTTGCAGCGGCCACTCGCCGTCAAGGTACACTTTGTGGCGACCTGTACGGCCAAGCAGTTGCAGGAACAAGCAGCATTGGATGTTCTCACTTCAGTACATGTGAGGGTTCCAAATGAGATGGTCAACATTGAAACGAGCTTGATCACGTTGAAGAAGAGGGGCTCTGATGAGGGGAAAAGAAACTGCATTGACTCATTGACTCATTGACTCTTCACTTCTTACATTGGTTTGTTTGTCAATTTTGTCAATGATATTTGTCAATTTCTGTCAATGGTCAGTGGCTTCCCAGAACTTCCCCCGGCTTTGGCACGAGGAGATCCATGCAGCGCTGTCTGCAGCTGTACAGGCGGAGACTTTGGCAGTGGCTGTAGGTTGTATAGTCCTGCGCATTTGGACATTTGGAAGAACTTGCTCGATCTTGTCCGATTGTTGATACATACACAGTATATCTACATATAATATTCCAGGTATTCCTAGGTCAAGGTTCAAGCTCCTTTAGGGCGTACAATTCTTTCTTGAGTCATCACTCTCTGGTTATTTGCGCTTGAGCTTACCCAGACATGCAAGGGCTTCCATGATCGTGTGCGTGGAGACAAGCTTGGAGAGGACCGTTCGTGTCATGGGGCTGTTCGGGTAAGTCTCAGCAAGCGTTGACTGGGCAAGCCCAAGCGAACAAATGCGAATCATTTGGTGTCGCATAGTGCTCCAAGCTGCACTGGTCATGAAAGAAGTCCTACACCAGCTAGTTCGATGAGTCTCCTGACTAACCCTGAACATTCCAAGCTTTAGATTTGATGAGCCTTGAAAACCAGATCCCCACGATGTGGCTCAGGAGGGCGGAAGCAGCAGCAGTTTCCGTCCGCCCCAAGAGGTACTGGGTATAGGTATAGGGTATGGACTGTATGGACATGTGTGGTGTACAGGGCAAGGTGAATCACGAACTGCACTGATTCATGTACATTTCTGACACTTATGGGAAAGTTGGCATAGACACAAACCAGTCGATTCCAGTACATTCTTGCTCACAAATAGAACCCAATCAGTGTGTTGTTGGCTTGGTCCATTACAAGCTGCAAGCTTTCAGTTTGGCACCGTGACGCATTTTTTGAGAATTGACAAGCCAGGCTTGGAATTGACAAGCTTTGTTGTGCTTGTCGGTTCCAGAGATCCAAACTAACAAGTCCGGAACAAAATGTAGATGGTAAATTGAACATAATTGAACACGAGTCAGTGGGAGTCACCCGCTAGTAAAGTGCTTTGTCCTGACCAAGCATCCAGTCAAACACTCTGGATCCTGGATCCTTTTATGTTTGTCCTCCTTGTATATTATAATATATCATTTCATTTCATTTCATCTTGTTTGACCTTCATGTTTTTGCCCGTGCTTCGCCTTTGGACCTTTTCCCGCTGGCCCAGCCGCGACCTGCCTGGTCAACGCCTACCACTGGCTGGTCTATGGCGCCGCCTGGGCCGTTCCGACCATAGATTTGTGCAAACATTTCCAACATTTTCCATCAACATAAATCAACAATCAAACACAACATCGATGTTTCGGCGCCTGGTTTTTTGTGGAAAGCCTGGCAAATGTTTGCATGTGTTCTGTATGAACTGAGCTTGCCTCTGCAGTTTGCCTTTACTCCTTTACAGTCCAATGGTAGTTTATTTTTAACCTAGTTTTTCATTCAAAAGCAAGCAGCTTTGCACCACATCCTCAATTCATGTTTCTGTCAGCAGTTTTTCTCTGAATGAGGCGTCCACCACCTTGGCCTTACTACAGGGATCCTTATGCACCGTCTGTCACTCCCAGTCAGGTGACACTTAGTTAATATGGTCAATATGGTCATGGTGAACATCAAACGACACTGTGAGATACAAAAAAACATCAAAAAACGTACATGTGCGCAGTAGTGGAGCTGTGGTGACGGACCCGCTGAAATGTGGGGCCTTTATAGGTGGTGGTGGCATAGTCTAAACATGTCTAAACCAATATTTTGAAATCCCTGAAGCACCATGAGAGAAACGTGTCATATCGTGTCATGTCGTGTTCACGAGTCATGTCTCATGTCATGTTCGATGGATATCGTCCCAGGCATCGGCCACCAGTGCCTGGAGCACCTGGGGCACCAATGTGGGGATGGCGGCCGCCAGGCTATGGGCCACCAGGCATGGAGAGAGCATGGGTGGAGGCTTTCCACTGGACTACAGTGCCTACAGTGCCTACATAGGGCCTACATAGGGCCTACATAGGGCCTACATAGGGCCTATACAGAGGACAGTGACACGAGAATGGCAGGTCCACCCCCTCCTGGGCCACCTGAGCGGAAGCACTCTAGAAGCAGGTGAGCCCGCGAGCGAATGGTGTCGGATTTATGTTTGGATTTATGACCCATGTCATCCCATGGCATCCCGTGGCATCCCATGGCTTGGAACTGCGATTCCATATAATGCGTTGCATCCAGATGTCCGTGTTTCTAAGTTGCCTTATCTAATTCTCAAATGCAGAGTGGGGGATTCATTAAATGCTTGTCCATCCTTGCACTGTGTGTCCCTTTTGCATGTTTTCCTGCGATACAGTAGTTGGGGGCTTGAACAGATCCAACCGCTTCTTGCCTCAATAGTTGTCGACTTCTGTAGAAAATCTGGCCAGCTTTCACCTTTCTTGATCCCTTTGTCCAGGAGAAGAAGACGTGTTCGATCCTCAAGCATGGTTCTGCTTGGTGGGCAGGTAACATCCAGTTCCATCGTTTGATGGGTCTAGGAAGATGCCAAAGGGGTACCGTACCTATTTTGTGTCGGCGACTTGACGGAATTCAAATACCTGGGCGGCTCAGAGATGAATTCGGCACCAAGGAAAAGGAATCGGCAGCTGCTGCGCCACCGAATATGGGATCGGCCTGGGACCTTGAAACCCAAACGGTCAGAGGTAGAACAGTTGTCACGTAGACTACTGCAGAGGGCAAGACGTGTAAATGACTCCATGTCTGAACAGTCTGAACCTGGAGTTGAAAGGAGCGTTGAAAAGAGACCTTCCCTGAGAAACGAATCTGGAGTCCAACCAGAACAGCACAAAACCTCCATTCCTAATCATTCGTATCTATTTCTTTCATTTTCTTTCAGTGAGTCTCAAGCGCAATCCAGGTCTCGGCCATGGCAGCAGAGGCAGAGGGCTCAGGGCCGTTTCATTGTCACATCGTCTGTGCCTAGGGTGGCCAGCTGAGCCACCTGCACCATCTTGCAAGGTCACATCCGATCCAAAGCTACAAGAGCTCATCATCAAGGGAGAAGAGCTGGTTCAACGTGGCCAGGACAGCTGCGTGCGCTGGAGTGTGGCACTTTATGCTCCGCAGATTTTTTTTGAGGACTATCCATCATAAATCGCATTTGCTGAAGACACCTGAAGACTGTACTATGGCTACTATGGCTTAAGTCTTACAACAGGTTTCCGGAGTCGGTTGAGGCTTGATGGGCTGCGCAGACTGAAAAGCTGATTGGTGTCTCAGCCAAACTGGAGAAGTCGTTGACTCCCAATGGCGCAAAGTAATTTCTTCTTCCTTGTCATATAGGTTCAGTATGGTTCAGTATGGTTCAGTCGTGCTGTGAAGGACTTGAAAGATCGCGGCGATCGCGATGGAGCTTACGCCCGAAGCTGAGATCTGTTCAGGATGTTCAGGGCCATGGATGGCCATGGCTGTTTTGTTCGAAATCAGGTACCGGCGAGTACCTTGAGTAAAGAAACGAGATGAAACGAGAAACAAAATCAATCAACACTGCTTCGATCCAGTTGTATTCTCTGGCAATGGCAGGGTTCGAGCACAGGGAATTGGATGTGACGGTGTTGTCATGAAGTAGAAGCGAGTCTTTGTGACGTGCACAGGAGAAGTTCTATCAGGGCCTACAGTATGAGCCTTTGTTTCGCTTTGTGTCAGCAAAATACAAGAGATTGCATGCGGACATATGACGAGTTTGCTTGCCTACAGCCAGCAAATCAAAGGCATGCAATGCCAAGACAACAGACGACAGAATGCATCCAACATGTTGCATCCGATGATGCTTTCCATTTGCATATGCTGTGAAACTGCTGTCTCAAGGTATCTGTTGAAGGTAATGCCTGGCCTAGGCGCGAGAATGGCTTCGAAGAACATGTGTCAAAGTTCTTGAAGGATCAAGAGAAAGCGTTAGTAAGCATCAGGCATTTCTATGCATTTCTTCTTTTGAGTCTGAAACTAGGCCAGGGACTGGCGAGCAGATGTTTTCCCTCAAGAGACAATCAAAGACAAGTGAGGTTTTTTCCCAAGCTTATGACAGTGAAGTACAAGATCCGTATATATCACTCTTCATTGATGGAAATTTGTGGATTTGAGAGGACGAGCAGGTTCGAAACAAGTAGACAAAGTAGACAAAATAGACAAAGGAGGAAAAGCACTTGCCACCCAAAAAGTATGTGTATGAGAAAAATGTTCAGAGGCGATGCCAATGCCCCCGCGGTGTTGGCTCTGAAGTCCAAGATTCACGGCTACTTGGATGAGGTGCCGATCGCTGTCACGAACAGGGCTGGACCATCCATTCTGCAAATCGCTGTCACGAGACTGCCAGCAATTGGTGGATTATGATCCTCAGGATCCTCAGGTCCTCTCAAGATTGTGTCAAGGCTTTTCAGGCTATTCGGTTGTCGGTATTGACTTGCTCTCCATGATGCTGCCAGACTGAGAAGTTGAAGAAATCCTTGGACTCGAAAGAGGCGCGTGAGATATTTCCAATTTGGTTTGTAGGAGCCGAATCTCCGGCTCTTTGTCCTTTTCATCATTTTCGTCCTTCGTGATGTCTCTTGAGGCTTGCAATGTGCCACGGTAAAAGCTTGGATCATACATATATATATAATTATATATATATAATATATAATTATATATATATATACACATACACACATATATCCATCAATGCGGGGATGTTCTATTAATAGGGATTAATATACATGCACATTTTGGTGGGATTCTCATGGCATGAGATGACTGGGAGCCCAATTCATTCCATGTAACTTGACCATGGCACATACACAATACATATTGGTTGACAACTGTTCATCTTCATAATTTTACGGATCCCCCGGATTCTCTGCTTGTTTTGCACTGCTCACCTGTTTCTTGGTCTAGATCCTTTCAGGGTAACCAAGAAGCTCCTAGAACGGTCGGGATACCCAGTCCGACGTTCGGATTATTTTGCAAGTTTCACCGACTGCAAGCCCAGTTCAAGCTCTCTTTCTGATCATGCCTTTTTGCAACACAGGACTAAACGTTTTCTGAATTTTCTGTCCGCGTTCCTGGCTTCAATGTGAGTTGCAGAATGAACGCCCTTAAACCAACAGTTCTTGGAGGGACAGCACAACATGCCTGGCTTTCCCTTCCCGAAAGCAAATAAAGCACCAACTGATAGTCTTCGTTTCCAATTCTTCTGATGTTCAAACTTGAAGTCCTTGCTTTGTCAACGCCTCGATTTTCCCACTCTGGTGCTCCCATTTCAACAGACACTTTTTGAGGCGTTAGATGACGGAGATCTGACTGTTGAGGCCCGCATCGAGCTGGGAGCCCCAACTCGGCATCACCTTTGCCAATTTTTGCCAATCTAGATGATGCCGAAGTGTCACTGTGCCCCTTTATTCAAGCGCACAATAGTGCACACATCTGCACACATCTGCACACACGCACACACATACACTTTACACACTTTAGTGTGCTGCTGTGATCATTCCAGGACATTTCAGGACATTGGATAGGTCTTTCCAGATCTTCCACATATTCCCACTAGACAAGACTTGTCTACAGATATCTACAGATATTCAGAGCATTTTCGAGCAACTAGCAAGGCTAGCAAGATCTGGATCCTGAGGCGTGGTGAGGCTTTGATGCAGAATGGTCAGCGCCTAGCCAAAAGTGGCAAGCTTGGGGAGGCGAGTTGTTTGCAGTTGTGCTTTGGCGACGAAGAGTTTGGACTTTTCCTGGAAACATAATGACAACACGTACTACATAGAAATCCTAAAGCTCCCTACTACACTAATACATACAAGGACTATTAGAGCATCATGAGATATCACGAGTGATTCCACATCCCATCAACATGTGTTACAGCTCGGCAAATTTGAAGGCTAGGTATTCCGCAGGAGGAAAACAACTGCAAAAGGAAACAGCATGTCTGCTAAATTCTGCTAACATGCTGATTCAAGGCCTATGAGAAATATTGCGCCGGCTTGAAAATCCTGCTTGAGGCCAGAAGAGAACTTATATCATGTTAAATTATGTTATTTATCGGTTTATTTTGATGTTATATGATGTTTCTATAGGTTTCTCTCGTTTTGAAGTGCTTAGCCTGATGGGCTCCATCGACTGTAGCACTGAAGCGAGCTCACAGCCAAGCGATGTGAACAATGTTTAATTGGTTCAGAGCGCACCAGTCGAACTGCAGCAGTCCTTCCATCCGTTTGTGGACGTACTATTTTGTTATGAGGGTATATATCTTGTATCTGTTTCGCATGGCATGTTGGATCTGTTGTTCGTCCCTGCATTTGGCGACTGAACAGGTGATGCCTCAATTACGCGAGGACTTAGCTTGGCAACGGAAGTGCTTTATGCTTTCAAGAAACCTCCAAGCAATCCAGCAAGCAAGTTATGTTAGGGTGCACGTTGGCATACGCTGGTACATAATTGGGCGTTTTCACTGAATGAAACAGCTAGCCTGCCAATGCAGGATTTAGATATACATGTTGACAATCACGGTTTAAGCCAAAAATGATATCACACACACATATATGTATATATAATTACATATATATATATATATTATATATAATATGTTATTATGTATATTATATATATATTATAATATATGTATATATGTATATATAATATAATTTGATATAATATAAAAATATATATAATATAATAGTTGAAATATACCGACCCCTGAGCCCCACCATGTATAGCATAGGTAGTAGGTCCAGTGTAGGTAGTTATGCCTTAGCTATGAGTCCAACACACCAATTAGCTATTCCAATCATGTACAGAATAGCACCCCTTATCTAGAAGCGATAGATAAGGAGAGTAGCCCTAGGTAGAGCTAGATACTTTCCCCTTCACCCTAACAACCACCTGGGTAAAGGGGTATAATTATGTATAATTAAGTATGCTATCGACCCTATGGCTCAAGTGCACAAAAGTGTGCTTGCGGTTCTACTTGTTTTGTTTATGGTAAAAAGGGTTGTGGTAGGAACATCTTTGGTTCGACCCCCCTTTTGTCTGGTTATCAGCCGTAAGGCTTGTTTTCCTGTTTGTTTCGCCTTTTGGGGTTTTATTCCTACCACAACTGGTCTAGGCCCCCGGTTTCGCTTCGCTCACTGTCTGTCATTGTTGCATGCCTGCAGAAGGGTCGGACGAAGTCGCTGACGATTACGTCGCGACGGAAACGCCAGCAGACGGATCCGAAGCGGCTGGTGAAGCAGAAGGTGTTGAAGAAAATCTTCCATCGACTGTTGAGCCGGTAGCTGAGGAGTCCAGAAACTGGGCCGATCTTTCTGAGGGGTCCACCGCGCCCGCGCCTTCTGGAGAACTTGAATTGACCCAGGTCAAGGAAGAGGTTCAAGAGGCCGAGTCGCTCAACGCGGTCCTTTCTGCAATTGGTGTTCCGGAGGTGGTCGCTGACGAGCCTGTCGCGACAGAGGGTGAGCTTGGACATTCGACTTCTGATCAAACATTTTTGGACGTTCCCACAGACTTGGACAATCCAGCTGAGGCAGCTTTCACGGACCTTGATCAAGCTAAGGAGGAGGACGTTCAACCTGATCTTCAAGAATCACCTTCAGAGCACGTAGACATCGGAGTTGAAGAAACTGATCATCAAGCTGAAACAACAGATCTTTTAGGTTTAGGTGACGAGGCGGGTCCAGTAGGAGAAGCATCCGTTGCATCCGAACCATCTGCACCCGTGCCTGAGCCTGCGGTCGCTGACACATCCGGTGTCGCGACAGAAGCCAACACTAGTTGCCCCGATCAAATAGTCCCACCACCAACTAGCCCTAATCTTGTTGACCCAGGTGCCGATCCTATCCAAGTAGGACATTCCCCCGCTAGTTCATCAACAGCCCATCGACCAAGGGTTCGATCCAGCAGGGGCGGTGCTACAACTAGGTGGCAAGAAGCAAAGCGAGCTTGGTGGAACGACTTCGAGGCATACCAAAATTGGCTTTACCATAACTCCGGAGGGGATATCGTAGGTGGCTTTTGGTTAAGAAAGATTTCTTACGAATACGCCGACGAAAGCACTCGCTGGTTGATAGCTCTTCATTCAAGACTTGTTGAGGAGTTCCCAACATCACAGTGTTTAGCTTTGGCCTACCAGATCCTCATCCCTTACAAAGAGTGGGCTCACATCTACGGTTTGGACAGGCGCAGAGGTACTTCACACGCCGAACAAGTGATAAACTCTGGTGAACTACCCCCAAAAAGGATCATTAACCAACGTATCCTAGGGGCAGAGCACCCGCGCCCAGAAGAGTGGGATAGGTATTATAGATACATAGGCCCACAGCAGCAACCCCGTCCAAAAGCGGTAAGGCCTGCTGCCGCAACACCCGTTGCTGGCGCGGCAAGTGGAGGCACAGATCCGACTCCGGTCCAGCAAGGACCCAAAGAGCCTGGGCACCCACCGCCGAACTGGCAACCTTCTTTGAGAAGGCCACCTGAGCCAGCAGTGCCACCGCGTCCAAGGGTTACTGTCTCTGTCCATCCAGTCCCACAAGCCCCAAAGTCAGATTCTCAAGGGGTCGCTGCCTTTGGGCGCGACGTAGCACCAGTCCCAGTTGCTAGCCCTGCTAAGCCACCAGCTAAAGCTAGGCCCAAAGCTCCTGATTCTAGTGCCACAACCCTTGCAGATAGAATTCAAGGTTTGCCACCTCCACCTAATAACATTCCCCCTAGTCCGCCTGCTCATAAACAACCACCCTTACCACCACCACCATCTCACCCGCCGCCAACTGCACAGGAGCTCGCTGCCCGCAGTTCCCAACCAGCAGAGGCGCGAGAAGAGACTGCTCCGGAGGATCCCAACGATCCACCGCCTGAAGAGGAGCAGTGGGAGGAGGAGGAGGAGGAGGAAGAGGAAGTTTTGGAGGAGGACGAAGTGGTTGAAGTTGAGGTTGAGGCCGAAGCTGAACCCGAATTCCCTGACTTCACAACAACAGAGCACGGCCGTGAGGTTTCCACGCGCCGTCGTAGGCCTAAAAGAACTAGGTCCAATCCGCCATTGCCTGTCAATCTAGTCCCAAGGGAAACCCGTGAACGAATCGAACTTAATCAAGAACTTTATAGAGCCCGTGCCATAACCGGTGTTTCTAGAAGACCTCTTGCTTTAAGACCCCAAGTGCACGGTTACCCCGAAATTAGAATTGACTCCGCTGGCACCTGGGCTAGGGTCGCTGATCCTCCGATCGCGTACGCGCCGCAGACTTTGCCGTTTATTGTTCCTCACGCCGAGGCACCAGAGCTTGGGGTCAACCCACACGAGCTTCCCGACTCGTTGTGGCGTGATCCTGCACTTAGATCCCATCGGACTGTTCTTGGTTCAAGTAATTTAGACCCCAATAGTGTCTATAATATTTCCACCAATAACCCCGATACCGAATCTGAGGGCTCTGAAACAGCTGAGACTCGAACCGCCAGGTTTGTTTCATCAGGTCAGGCATTTGTCGGCCAGCAAGAACCGTTCGACGCTGGCTTCGCTGAGCGCACCCCTGCCCGTCCAATTGAGTCTCCACCAAAGAGACAGCGTCCTAACATAAGAACCTCTCGAATCCAACGTGATAAGCCGGCACAGCCCAGAAAAGATCCAGTTTCTGCTGCACCAACACCACCTGCAGCCCCTACAGTACCATCTTTGACTGTCCCCCCATTAAGCAGCTCTAGTAGTTCAGCTTATCCTCCCTGGAGGCAGTCTTTGCAAAGTGCTGGAACTGGGGTCGCTGACACAGCCCGTGTCGCGACAGAGACTGCATCAGAGCCAGCCGGCTCTCCCGTTGCGCGATCCAGATCAAGAGCACCCTCAGCCGAGACTGCGCCCGCAGTTGCTGCCAGAACATCAAGGGGAAGGGAAGTACCAATTTCAAATAAGATTTCGTCTAAGTCTCGCAAAAGAGCTAGTTCCGTTCCTGTGCCAATCCGTGCAAAGGGGGCTGCTGTCCCTGACACGCCCCAAAGGCCAGAACCCTTGCCACCAGCTCCAGAGCCTAAGAAGAATCTGCCTTGGAAACATCCACCTGTGACAATTGCACCTGCGGCACCTGCTGCACCTGCTGCACCCGTGGTAATTCCCCCAAGACCTAATAGGCCTGTTCCCCCTAATCCAGCTAATCTCAAGCCCGTAAAACCTCCTCCGCCAGGAATCGAGAGGGCAAGACCTGCTGGCCAACCGTCCCGAGATCCACCTCCACTTGATCCCGAAGGACAACAGCAACAGCAAGAGGCACCAAGCTCAGGATCTGGCCTTGCACCCCACGTCCGTGGGCGGCCTTTGCCTGAACCAAATCCAGATCGGCCAGAGGGGGTCGCTGGCTCTGTGCCGCGACATTACCAACAGCAACCCAATTTAGTCTCTAAGGTAGTCCACGTTAATACATCCAACATAGTTGTTTGTATCGACTGGCACGATACCATTGACCAAGCTCTCAACCCCGTTGGTGAATTGTCTTCCCATTTAGTTGATAAGCTTCGGACATTGACTAGGATTGCTGGTAATCAAATTGAGTTCCACATTGTCTCATACGCCGGCCAATCTAAGATTGACAGCACCAAGGCCGGTGCTGAGCACGTGATTAGCCAATTGATCGCAGAAGGTTTGCCGTTTAGAGAAGTGCACCTGGCCCGCTATCCTTGCGGAAGGCAGGGCAAATCATCTATCATCTCTGCACTCCAGGCACATTGTCTCATCGACGACCGTTCCGACATCCTGAACGAGTGCAGGCAA